TTGCGTCCTTGTGCCGCTCGCTTTCGTCTTGTCCAGCCAGCCGTCCGGACAGTGCCAAGCGTCACTAGTCTGAACCCGCAAGCTTGACCTGCCTTTCTGCACTGCATGCCAACTGCCAACTTGCTCATGGTTTCCTGGAGCTGGCTATCGTTCTGCCCAGCTTCCAAGACGTCAATTTCTGAACCAGCTAGAAACTATAGCTCCAAACCTTGACTGTATATACCTGCGTTTCTGCACTGCCAACTGCCACCCTGCTCGTGTCCTCCTGGAGCTGGCTTTCGTTCTGCACAGCTCCGGTCCAAGCTGGAGTCCAAGGACCGTGTCGCAGGGCTAAAACACCATGGCAGTGAAGGACGGATTGGGCCCGCGGCCCGTAGCCCAGACTGCCAAACGTTACTTTCTGAACCGACTAGAAACTAGCTCCAAACCTTGTCTTTACCTGCGTTTTCTGCACTGCCAACTGCCACCCTGCTCGTGTCCTCCTGGAGCCGGCTTTCGTTCTGCACCACTTCGGTCTAAGCTGGAGTCCAAGGACCGGTCTCGCCAATTGGCTACCAAACCCAACATGGCAGTGAGGACTGATTACGTGGCCCAATGTCCGACTCACAATTAATCCCAGACTGCCAACGTCACTTTCTAACGCAAACCGCTTAAACAAACGAAGAAAAACAAAAACAAAACAAAAAAAAACAAAAACAAAAAACACAAAAAAACTCATGGAGACGAAACATCGGGAATCGAGATCAGGTTTATTACTTAGAGAAACTAGCTCCAAACCTTGACTTTTCCTGCGTTTCTGCACTGCCAACTTCCACCCTGCTCGTGTCCTCCTGGAGCCGGCTTTCGTTCTGCACCGCTTCGGTCCAAGCTGGAGTCCAAGGACCGTGTCGCAGGGCTAAAACACCATGGCAGTGAAGGACGGATTGGGCCCGCGGCCCGTATCCTAGACTGCCAAACGTCACTTTCTGAACCGACTAGAAACTAGCTCCAAACCTTGACTTTTCCTGCGTTTCTGCACTGCCAACTGCCACCCTTCTCGTGTCCTCCTGTAGCCGGCTTTCGTTCTGCGGCTCCAAACCTTGACTTTACCTGCGTTTCTGCACTGCCAACTGCCACCCTGCTCGTGTCCTCCTGGCGCCGGCTTTCGTTCTGCACCGCTTCGGTCTAAGCTGGAGTCCAAGGACCGTGTCGCATGTCGCAGGGCTAAAACACCATGGCAGTGAAGGACGGATTAGGCCCGCGGCCCGTATCCCAGACTGCCAAACGTCACTTTCTGAACCGACTAGAAACTAGCTCCAAACCTTGACTTTTCCTGCGTTTCTGCACTGCCAACTGCCACCCTGCTCGTGTCCTCCTGGAGCCGGCTTTTGTTCTGCACCGCTTCGGTCCAGCTGAGTCAAGGACCGTGTCGTCAGGGCTAAACACCATGGCAAGTGAAGGACGGAAATTGGGCCCGCGTCCCCGTAAAATCCCAGACTGCCAAACGTCACTTTCTGAACCGAACTAGAAACTAGCTCTCAAACCTTGACTTTTCCTGCTTTCTGCACTGCCACTGCACCCTGCTCGTGTCATCTGGGCCGGCTTTTCGTTCTGCACCGCTTCGGTCCAAGCTGGAAGTCCCAAAGGCCCGTGTCGCAGGGCTAAAACAACCATGGCAGTGAAGGACGATTGGGGCCCGCGGCCCGTATCCCAGACGCCAACGTCACTTTCTGGAACCGACTAGAAACTAGCTCAAACCTTGAACTTTTCTGCGTTATCTGCACTGGCCAAACTGCCTAAAAAATGACCCTTCTCCATGTGTCCTCCTGGAGCCGGCTTTCGTTCTGCACCGCTTCGGTCCAAGCTGGAGTCCAAGGACCGTGTCGCAGGGCTAAAACACCATTGCAGTGAAGGACGGATTGGGCCCGCGGCCCGTATCCCAGACTGCCAAACGTCACTTTCTGAACCGACTAGAAACTAGCTCCAAACCTTGACTTTTCCTGCGTTTCTGCACTGCCAACTGCCACCCTGCTCGTGTCCTCCTGGCGCCGGCCTTCGTTCTGCACCGCTTCGGTCCAAGCTGGAGTCCAAGGACCGTGTCGCAGGGCTAAAACACCATGGCAGTGAAGGACGGATTGGGCCCGCGGCCCGTATCCCAGACTGCCAAACGTCACTTTCTGAACCGACTAGAAACTAGCTCCAAACCTTGACGTTTCCTGCGTTTCTGCACTGCCAACTGCCACCCTGCTCGTGTCCTCCTGGAGCCGGCCTTCGTTCTGCACCGCTTCGGTCCAAGCTGGAGTCCAAGGACCGTGTCGCAGGGCTAAAACACAATGGCAGTGACGGACGGGTTGGGCCCGCCGCCCGTATCCCAGACTGCCAAACGTCACTTTCTGAACCGACTAGAAACTAGCTCCAAACCTTGACTTTTCCTGCATTTCTGCATTGCCAACTGCCACCCTGCTCGTGTCCTCCTGGAGCCGGCTTTCGTTCTGCACCGCTTCGGTCCAAGCTGGAGTCCAAGGACGTGTCGCAGGGCTAAAACACCATGGCAGTGAAGGACGGATTGGGCCCGCGGCCCGTATCCCAGACTGCCAAACGTCACTTTCTGAACCGACTAGAAACTAGCTCCAAACCTTGACTTTTCCTGCATTTCTGCACTGCCACCCTGCTCGTGTCCTCCTGGAGCCGGCTTTCGTTCTGCACCGCTTCGGTCCAAGCTGGAGTCCAAGGACCGTGTCGCAGGGCTAAAACACCATGGCAGTGAAGGACGGATTTGGCCCGCGGCCCGTATCCCAGACTGCCAAACGTCACTTTCTGAACCGACTAGAAACTAGCTCCAAACCTTGACTTTTCCTGCGTTTCTGCACTGCCAACTGCCACCCTGCTCGTGTCCTCCTGGAGCCGCCTTTCGTTCTGCACCACTTCGGTCCAAGCTGGAGTCCAAGGACCGTGTCGCAGGGCTAAAACACCATGGCAGTGAAGGACGGATTGGGCCCGCGGCCCGTATCCCAGACTGCCAAACGTCACTTTCTGAACCGACTAGAAAAAAAAAAAAAAAAAAGATAAAAAAAGAACAATGGAAAAAACTAGCTCCAAACCTTGACTTTTCCTGCGTTTCTGCACTGCCAACTGCCACCCTGCTCGTGTCCTCCTGGAGCCGGCTTTTGTTCTGCGGCTCCAGAGTCCAAACCTTGACTTACCTGCGTTTCTGCACTGCCAACTGCCACCCTGCCCGTGTCCTCCTGGAGCCGGCTTTCGTTCTGCACCGCTTCGGTCTAAGCTGGAGTCCAAGGACCGTGTCGCAGGGCTAAAACACCATGGCAGTGAAGGACGGATTAGGCCCGCGGCCCGTATCCCAGACTGCCAAACGTCACTTTCTGAACCGACTAGAAACTAGCTCCAAACCTTGACTTTTCCTGCGTTTCTGCACTGCCAACTGCCACCCTGCTCGTGTCCTCCTGGCGCCGGCTTTCGTTCTGCACCGCTTAGGTCCAAGCTGGAGTCCAAGGACCGTGTCGCAGGGCTAAAACACCATGGCAGTGAAGGACGGATTGGGCCCGGGGCCCGTATCCCAGACTGCCAAACGTCACTTTCTGAACCGACTAGAAACTAGCTCCAAACCTTGACTTTTCCTGCGTTTCTGCACTGCCAACTGCCACCCTGCTCGTGTCCTCCTGGGGCCGGCTTTCGTTCTGCACCGCTTCGGCCCAAGCTGGAGTCCAAGGACCGTGTCGCAGGGCTAAAACACCATGGCAGTGAAGGACGGATTGGGCCCGCGGCCGGTATCCCAGACTGCCAAACGTCACTTTCTGAACCGACTAGAAACTAGCTCCAAACCTTGACTTTTCCTGCGTTTCTACACTGCCAACTGCCACCCTGCTCGTGTCCTCCTGGAGCCGGCTTTCGTTCTGCACAAACTCTTCGCCCCTTCTGGCATCTTGTTGCTAGTAAGGCCTCCTCTGACGCGCTCCCCCTGCTGACGGCAGGGGTCGGCGGATATTTTACACTCCTAAGAAATCTTTAGGAATCTCTGAACCTAACATGCGAAAATCCAGACCATATGCACTTATGTGAGCCCATTTTCTTTGGATATGGTTCCATGATATGCTCCAAACACCCAAGCAACTGGTTGACTTTGAGAGACACAACAATTGGTGCTCAAAAATGTTGAAAATGCAATGGTTTATCATCCCCATATTTTGCCATTAAAGCTGCAACAAACTAGGCCTATACTAACCATTTTCATTGACACCCCAATAACATATCATATCCACTTGGTTATTATTCCATGATATATCGATATATATATATATATATATCCCTTTTATATTCCTATATTCTATCCCCAGTTTTTATGGTTAAACCGTTGAAGCTCATTGATCCTATGTTTGCTGGTTAAACCTGGCTCCAATCTGGTGCCCCAACCATCCAACCTCTGGCGCACCCAACTGGCTCAGCGGCCGGGCCTCGGTGTTGCCACCGTGGCGGGCGGGCTCCGCGGCTCAGCGATGGCAAATTTTCTGGGCGGTGACCGTGTGGTGGGTTAACTAACCGGTTAACCATCAAAAATTGGTGATTTAGTGATTTAACCATGAAAAAATGATATGCGGAATATAGATATAACATGATATAACATGATATAACATGATATAACATGATATAACATGATATAACATGATATAACATGATATAACATGATATAACTGATATAACTCATAAAATGGGTGGGATTCATGATTCAACCGGCCAAGAAAGTTGTATTTTGACCAGAGAAAATGGGGATTCAACGAAAAAAATGAAATGTTCAACAAACCATGGTGCGGATGTAGGGATATTACATCCAACAAATTTGCATTGTCAACCCACCAAAATGGATCGCTTTAGGTCCCCAAAATGACGGAATGCGGTTTGTCAGTGCTTGTTTCATCGCCTTTGTGCAGATAACAAGTACAAGTGGGATCTTGGCAGTTCAAGCTGCCCTTGGTACTTCGGAACAGCCCGGGATAAAACTTTGCCAAGGCGTGTCCCAATGGAGCACCAAGCATTGCCCACATTGCAAGAAGTTGCAGCGACATTGTCAGGGTCCAAGGGGGTTGCGGGAGGGATCTGGCCCAGCTTTTGAGAGATAGATGAGTCACCCATTCTTACTGCATATTACGTAGATTAATAACATACGTGCCGATACTGTTACTTTATATAGAATCAACTGGACGGACATGCCGTTTTCTTCAGAAGCTTGAACACCGGTCCGTAACCTGGCACAAACCTCATCAACCCTCCAAAGGTAAGGACACCCCTTGTCCCTCCGAGGCAGAAGCTCGGCGTTGAGCACGAGCGCCAGCTGTCGGAACTGCGGCGTCAGGTGCACCACAGACCGCTGAGTCGAAAATCCATGGTTCAGGAACCACACGGAGCTAATAAACAGGTTCTCACGGCTGGATTTTTACAGAGACAGAGATGTGATGAACCAATGAGTCACGAGGAATCATGAAGATTGAAAACTGTTCATGGAGCATTTCTCGTGCCGCTCGATTGCAGTTTGGTTGAATGTCAAGAAAGCGCTCGTTCAAATTGTTCCAGTTGTTACAGGTGGAACTGCTTGAGACTCAAGTGAGAAGTGAGGCACGATGGGAGGGGAGAATGGCTGGCCGGCTGGCCTTTAGTTTTTGAAGCATGAAGTTCCCTAACAGAAAATCTGCCTGCAATTTCAATTGTTGTTTCTGGATATCTTCTGCAAGAATTTGTTTTTGAGTGCACCTGCGCTTGCCCTCTCAATCACCTTGGAAAAGTCAAGGTTCCAGTTCGAATTGAGTATGGACAACACCATAAGTTTGCCAGGCACATTTCCATAGGAATGTCCAAACTCCATCGACTGAGCTGCTCCGCAGCCATTGCGGCTGCAGTATCAAAGCCGTCTACTCCTTGCCAGTTGCTTGGAGCAGCTTCACAGGCATTTCATGGGGAAGGGCAACTTGCTTCGGGGTTGCTATGCCAGAAATGGATGGTGGTTGCGGTTGTTGGATGTTTTGTTTTGAGAGTGAGCTGTTTGCATTTTCAATTTGTACCCCGTGATGACATGTGATGACTCGTTTTTACTTGCCTCATGTTCAGCGCGGAACGCCAGGCTCAATGTCTTTCGCTCAAAAGTTGGCAGTAGCGACCGACAAGGCCGACGCAGAAAAGAAGGAAAGGGCGAGGCAAGAGGCGCTGCGACAGGATGCTGCGGAGGCTCAGAAGATTCGCAGCTGGGTGTCTGGACAGCAGAACAAGTCTTCAAATGCATCAGACCATGCTTTAACAAGAAGTGTTTTCAACCTTATTTGTGGCTTTCCTGTTTTGTTATTGTCTCTCCCTTTCACTCAATGTGAGCATAGGCAGCATAGGTGTTGTGATGGATTAGTCATAGCGGTCTTAGTATGGATTAGTTGTGGCAGTGGACAGCCATTGCGCTTTGGAGCCTGTCGGAACCTGTCAGATCTGAGGCTGATGCAGAGATTGAGAATCTCAAGAAAAAGTGTCAAGAAGCCGTCGCAACCTGCACTTACAGTTGTGCTTTCATCACAGGTTCTTGTTGCTTCGAACAGCGAGAGTGCAATAAAGGCCTGCGCCAGCGTGAGTTGGAACAGCGGGTCAAGGGCCTTGGCTTTTCCAGCCACAAGATTGAGGAGAGAATTGTGATCCCGGATGGAGTTCGGCAAGGTGTGAATTCCAATAAATTTTCTATCGCTGTATCCTGGAAGAATGTGTCCCGCGATCCTTCAGAGCCGCCAAAGAAGCGCTTGAAGGGCCACGCAAGAACTTGCCAAGTTTGTGAGGAGAAGAAGTCCATGGTGGTGTTGGCTCCTTGTGGCCATGTCCTGTGCCAGGATTGCCGGGAGAAGCAGACGAAGCAGAAGAACTACCAGTGCCCCTTCTGCCGACAGCACGTCATTTGCGTGACCGAGGGCCTATTCTTCAGCTGACTGCCCTCTTGAAATGCCCTGATTGGCCAAATGTTTGGACCTACCGACCCATCAAAACCAATTGGCTCACATGAGCCAAAATCAAGAAAGACCTTTTAGACTGCGTAGACAAATAAACATAGTGGTAGGTCAAGTTAAATTAAACTTGGGGTGGAGCAAGTGTCCACGGTGATGCTTGCTATTCGTTGTCAGCTTCGCCGCCAGTCTGTGACTCGTGGCCGTTCTGACTTGGGGAGAAAACTGATTGAGTGCGCAGAGCCGAATTTCGAAGAAAGTGCACAGCCAGATTCCGTTCGGACTCCTTTGGAATCTGGAAGTACTGGATTTTCAAAAGGCGAATCATATTTGATCATGGCAAATGGTGTGGAACTGTGGGGGAGCAATCCAAGTGATGTTCCCTTGCTGCAGGTTCCAGCTCTTCCAGAGTCGCAGGTGCTCACGAATTGCTGGTTGCCAGCATCAAGAGTTGAGGGGGGCCTGAAAAGGAACTCCGTAGGAAATTCATTGTTTCTCTCTGATTCTACTGATCTGTTTTGAAGCAGCTGACTGCATGCCATGATTGCAGGAACACCATTTGTGCAAACAGCAGGTGCTTTTGAAGAAGTGACAGAGCCGGTCCGATTTAACGGCATCACATGTTCATGTATTTAATGTATTTCTTGTCCTAAGCAGTGTTGAAAAAGGATTCCACGGCCATGCCCACATTCTTCCAGTTGTAAGTATTCCTCTCCAGTCCTTCGCTGGATATGGGCAGTTGAAACTAGACTACACCAAGATTTCATGATTTTCCCATCATATTCCCCATGAAAGTGGCCATTTTTTTGGCATCCCCACTGCCCTTCACCGCCAGGCACCCTCGGCTCCGGCACCTGATGGGCATCCGGAATCCCTGCCCCTGGGGCAAGGCGTACAGCATCCCCAGGTGCGACATCTGCAGCCATGGTTGGTCCATGGCTTGAAAAACCAACCCAAAATTCTGGTCAAACCCAAGCCAAAAGGGTACCAAAATCGTACCAATCAGTGGTCGATGAGGGAAATCCATGAGGAAAGGTGAAATTTGGATGCTTGGGACAGCCCAAATTGGTTGAATTGGTTGGTTGTTTGTTGGTTCAGTCAGGCAGATTCACCCCAAATTCAGAGACTGGGATGGAGCCAGGAAACTGGTGAACGCTCCGAGGCCGATGTGATGACTCCTGCAGTTGGTGACAACTCTCCAAATATCCCATGTTTATCAAGGTTAGTTCAAGGTTTATTCATTCTAGATTCAACTGCATTCGCATCAAACCATCAACTGTCATCAACTGTCATCAACTGCCATCGTTCACCTAACCATCGACGGGGTCATTGACAGGGCTCATTGCGTGCCATGTTCACCTACCCCGAGCTCCCGGGGATGCTGAGCTCGGTTGGGGTCCCAGATGATGGAAAGCCGGTGAAAATCCTCGGTTGAACCGATCTGAATCTGTTTGAAAGTAGCTAGTATCATCTAGTATCTAATGTATCTAGCTTGATGGTCTATTGAATCTTGATATGGTCTATTGAATCTAGTTATGCGCTTTTGTTGCCAAGAGTTACTGATGCAGTCAGATCATTAAGTCGTATCGAATTCGAATCGAAGGCGTTAAATTGACACTCCACTCAAAATTACATACCCAAGAAAACACATCGGTTTTTCTCAAATCAACTACTGGCATTTATTCAATTTTATTCACACTACTGTTTTTCGTTGATTTATTTAGCCATCCCAGCGGCTCCCAGCAATCCCTCGGTGAAGGGCACGCTGAAAAAGCGGGCAGAGGACGACACGTCGAGCTCCTCTTCGAGACTTGGCGAACGATGAACTGAGCTGCGACCCAAAGGTTTTTTTTTCCGTATTTTTTCCCTGACTTTGTTTTTGGGACAAAATGCTTTTGACTAACAAAAATATACAAAAATCACTGAACTTAGAGTTTATATATGTTTATATGATTTTATATGAATTTACAAACGTACCAGGAAAAAACTCGGTTCAACGTGCGTCCAAGTTGGATGTCCACAAATTGTGTCCAGATGCCGCGGCCTAGGAGCTCCAGCTTGGTATCCAATCCAGCAGGCACAGCAAGATGTAACACTTGGGATATTTTTCACCCATAAAGATTGGATATTTGTGACGCATGATACTACATGATACCCATGATTCAAGAGATAGATTCAAGAGATATAGGTAAACTATCTAAGTTGGGGGTGCCAACTTTTTTTTTTAAATTGACTTGGGCGAGCGCACTTGGTACCCACAATGTCTTTTGTGAATGAAATCGCTAGCACAGCATCGCGCTCGAACCTGCGCAAGGTGTCATCTTGCGCAACTATCAGTTTCGTGGAAGTTTCTGACAGCTTTCAAGTCATCAACGCATTTGGGAGTCATCAATTCAATACCAATGAAGATTTAAGACATATTTTTCCAGACAGTTTCCACATCTTTGTCCAGGTTCAAAGGCTTCAAAATTGTGCTTTTCATTTCTGGCTTCGCTGGCAGGAGGTAAACATATCACAGTCACTACCACTTGGGCATCAAAGCAATATCGTGCCCCTGGCTTGGACAGCGGAGGCGCTGTATAACTCTTGATTGGGGTATCGATGCCAACGTGTCTTGTATCAATGTCAACGTCTTCAAGAAATCTCCTACATGATCCGTTTGAATTGATCCGAACTGGTCCAATTGAATGATGGACCCCGTCAGATTTCTGAATCCTTCAATTCTGAGAAACAGACACATCAGACACACTCCAGCTTGACCTCCGCCTGCAGATGACAAGCTTCCAAACTTGAAAGACGTCAAGGCGGGCAAATCTCCCTGTTGGAGAGGGGATGGTTTGGCCCTTCTGAAGGACAAAAGAACGGGAAAATCCATGAAATTCCAGATTCTTCACTGACACTGCATGGCTCCGCCAGAACCCAGTGGCGAAACGCGCCGACTCAGCACGTCTCCTGGCAGCAAGTCTTACGGCCGGTGACCTATGGACTCAGCCATTTGAAGTTTGATCAGTTTGATCCCTCAGCAACTTGACATGTGACAAAGGAGGGGTAAGAAGACCATGGGCCATGCCATTCACCATGGGAGACCTTGAAATTCGGAGGTTGACCCTCTAGGGACCCCTGCCGCCGAGAAAAAGTGATGGTCCATGGTCGTGTTTGCAGACAGGGTTCCAATATGTTCCAATCACATCCACATGCAATCACTATCATCACTGGGGTTGTCTACATGAATTGGAATGGGATGAACTATGCAATCGCGATAAATCTGTGGGACGAACGAAGCAGCCTTTTTGCTGAGATTTTAAGCTTCATCCCTTCTTCAACGAAGCTCAGAGGTGCCGCAGTTTTGTCGTGGGGATATTGGGAGATCAGCCCATCCTTGGGGCGATCTCAAAAAGGGAAAGGACAAGACCATTGAGATGGTAGGCCATGAGTCTTAGATCCGGATTGGGGAACCTTTGTATCGACATTGTAGTGACGATTCCGCATGTCAAAACGTGTCTTGGACAACGGTGAGTTGCAAGCATCGGAGCTGATAAAGAGCAGAACATATTTGGGGCCTCCCAGCGCAACAAAGGTAGGAATACAACAGAAGTAAGATAAAAGGGGTGGGGCCTGAATTCCAGTGGTGTCAGCTAAAAAATGCTAAAAATATCATGAACGTGAACTAAGCAATGTCAATCGGCGCTGCAGGGCTGGTCTTCGCCGGGAGGACTCTGTCAGGTTGGAGCACGTCACGAGTCTTGGCGTGAATGCACATTTCCAGTGATTACCAGCAAAACTGCAGGGGTTAAACCGGGAATTCCATGATCAGCAAATCAACAGTAGCTCAACAGCTGTAGAAAGAACTCGAAAGAGCTGAAGATCGGTCACTGGTTCACAAACGATGGACGGCCTCGAATGGTGACTAGGTGGCATCATTTACTATCATTTTTATTCATTTTTTATAAAACCGGGCCGAAGGGTAAGTTCGAGAAGTGGGTTGGCTGGATCCAGGGTTGGTGTCCAAGGAATCTTGCGATGGCAGGACTCTCTGTCAGGCAGAGGGTTTTGGGCATAAGTTTGCCGGATTCTTCCACTGGTTCATGAGAAAAAATAGAAAAGAGTCGTACCCACAGCCCCGAAAGTATTCACAACCAATAGAACCTCCCTTTTGTTCCCAAACTGAATCATCCTGGCTTCTGGTTGTGTGCATTCTGCACCCTGCAGGGATCGAGAAGATGGTGAAAATCAACACCTGGATAAGGAGAGCAACAAGCTCAGCAGGCCCAGGGGAAGCCTCGGAAAGAGGAGATGAGTAAAGTCACATGGACTAAGTGGGAAAAAAAAACGCTAGTGGGCTTACGTTGATCAAAGGGATTTCTAAATGGTAGTGGCAAGCGATTCTTTTGTTGCAGGGCAAATTGCTTTAGTGGCTGGGGGATCGTCACAAAATATGCAGAGACACGATGCTTTGACCATTTTCTTTTGGTTGGAGCACATCCCAGAGTCCTGGAGTTGGAAGTCACCAGATTTTGGACGATAGATTCTATCTCAATCTCAATTGGGTTGTCCTAGAATTCTATAAGACTTCTACGGATTGAATCCCCTATCTATAAGTACATGTAGTTTTAGTTTTTGATATTCCCCATTTCTTTCAGTACTTCTGGTTGTCCAGGTCCCATCTTCATAGCACCGTATCGGGCAGCCCTGGTAGGCTCATGACCTCCGACCAATTAGAGGCCGATCAGCCTAAGGTGGGGCGGGTGTTCTCCAATGCAATGGGGCAGGACAAGTTACAGTAGGTCTATATGTGAAGCAATGGCAGAGAGAGTAACCGAATAATTATCGAAGCATTCACATAATATTATGTTATACATTCTTGCCATATTTATATCGCATTGTACAATGGATACGATCTACATAATGTATCCGCATATGTTATGTCATGCCATGTCATGTAGTGTAATGTAGTGTAAGGTAATGTAGTGTAGTGTAATGTGGCATAGTGTAGTGTTATGATGGCCAACTGAGCTACAGAAGGATTGTAGTAGTTTGAATTAAACGTGTGAAAAAAGAAAACAACGTGCCTAAAAAATGCAGTATTTTTGAAATGTGAAAAACATGTATTTTAAAAGTGTAAAAAAATGTGAAACAATGTATTTTATAAAGCATTTTTGAAGGCTTGTTCTTTTTTATGTTGTTTTGATTCATGTGTGCTTTTGATTGCTTTTGGACAAATATGTTTTTCGAGAACACATTTTGGACAGGAGGCTCTGGCAATTTTGGTTTTTGGAGCAAGATGCTTCTCTTTTTTCTTGGTTTGTGGACCAAGGAGATCAGGTAAGCAGATGAATGAAATAAACACTATAACTCAACTAAAAGCTATTTGATGGGAGAAAAGGCTACCAGGTAAGAGGATCCAGAAGGTATAGCAAAACGGTAGAAAACGGTTTTCTTAATTTCATTTTTTCATTTTTTCATTTTTTCATTTCAAACCATACAATACCATACAATACCATACAATGCCATACAATACCATACAATACCATACAATACCATACAATACCATACAATACCATACAATACCATACAATACCATACAATACCATACAATACCATACAATACCATTCCATACAATACCATACAATACCATTCCATACAATACCATACAATACCATACAATACCATACAATACAATACCATACAATACCATACAATACCATACAATACCATACAATACCATACAATACCATACAATACCATACAATACCATTCCATACAATACCATACAATACCATTCCATACAATACCATACAATACCATACAATACCATACAATACAATACCATACAATACCATACAATACCATACAATACCATACAATACCATACAATACCATACAATACCATACAATACCATACAATACCATACAATACCATACATTACCATACATTACCATACAATACCATACATTACCATACATTGCCATACATTGCCATACATTGCCATACATACCATACATTACCATACATTACCATACATTCCCATACATTACCATACATTCCCATACATTCCCATACATTCCCATACATTCCCATACATTCCCATACATTCCCATACATTACCATACATTACCATACATTACCATACATTACCATACATTACCATACATTACCATACATTACCATACATTACCATACATAACCATACATAACCATACATAACCATACATAACCATACATTACCATACATTACCATACATTACCATACATTACCATACATTACCATACATTACCATACATTACCATACATTACCATACATTACCATACATTACCATACATTACCATACATTACCATACATTACCATACATTACCATGCATGCATGCATGCATGCATACATGCATACATGCATACATGCATACATGCATACATGCATACATGCATACATGCAGACATGCAGACATGCAGACATGCAGACATGCAGACATGCAGACATACATAAATACAGACATACAGACATACAGACATACGGACAGACAGACATACAGACATACAGACAGACAGACATACCTACCTACCTACCTACCTACCTACCTACATACATACAATCATACATACATACATACATACATACATCCATCCATCCATCCATCCATCCATCCATACATACATACATACATCCATACATCCATACATACATACATACATACATACATACATACATACATACATACATACATATTAGAGACATACATGTGATATTCAGATCATCTACTGGGAAAAACATTTTGAGATACTGTGGGGGTCATGAACTACTGGCAGCTTGCGACTTATCTCCCTGCCAGAAGCCACCTTGGTTTGTCTCACTGCCGGGGAATCGAAGGCGGGCCTGTGATACAAACTGTTGGGCGGTGGGCGGCAACTCTGATGGGCAGATTGAGGCACCTTGAACACTATGAGGATTTGAGCTTGAACTAACAACTGAGTAAATCCAAATCATTCAAAATCTGTATCTACTGCCACTGGTCTGCGAGAGTCTTGCTGTGACGTGCTAATACCTATTCAGGCTCTTTGGGCTTGATGGAACTTACAACAAATCTACATGTCTTTCGAGGTATATCCATATATCACATCAAAACAAATAATTTCCAGATCATATACAGATTATTATCATATATCCAAATATCAATATATCATTATCATATATCAATTATATACATATTTGCAGATCTCATATCTGCAGATTGTGCCTCACCCAGCTTTTGGGGATCATTCACCAGGAACGTCTTCTGGGATGTGGTGGGAGCAATCTTCGTCCTTTACGCAGCTTGATCCAAGGTGATCCTGGAAGGTTGCTGATGGGATTTACCATGATATACCCCCAGCCCCGAATCCTATCAGGGATAGACTTTAAGATCTGAACAGGAAACAGAACTCTTTGAGTGGACCAGCACTGGAATGTTGCTACCCTCCCACTCAGTTGGATGGTCTGGCGACCAAGGACTGTTTCATGATTCCCTTGCGTGTCTTTAATCCACCTGTGACGACCATGGTCGTCACCACGGCCACTGGGACTGCGGCGAAGGTATGGTTTGGTATGGTATGGGAAGGGCAATCCAACATTTGGATCAGCAGGTAGGATGTATCATGCGCCTTGCGAGTGATTAATTCTAGTTGCCCTACGAAACTGATCGATATTGATTGATTCACCTCATCTTGAACTGGAATCGCGAAACACACATAATGGACGAATATCTAAGACTCTATTCCGACACCCTGATCCTTTAAAGACCACAGTGACCACATTGGTTCATATCTCCCAGGAATGGATGGGACTGCTTTATTGGACCTTCAACATTCCCGTGACGCTCACCTTGGGTGCCTTGGTGCCAATGTGTCAAGCTGAGCTGCTGACGATTTTGAGACACTAAGGCTATGTCGTGGACGGGCAAGCAATCATGGATCCATACCGTTTGGAGCTCGGGAGTCTTCTTGCAGCCATAAGAATCAAATCCGGTGGTCGTAGATTTAAGGTGATGTAACCGTTGTGTTGATGAGTGTTGTGAGCTCCGTTTGAATCAGTAGAATCCACACCGGCATTCGAAATTGGCAATGACAACACTCAGCCAGGAAGTCACATGCATCATCCAATCCACAGCCTTTCATCCATATTATGACTACCCTGCCTAGCCCTGCCTTGGTTGTTTTTGTTGCGGAGATGCTGTTGACAATTCGAGGCATTTTCATACATTATTTGAAGACCTGGTTCATCGTGGATGCAACAGTCCGAAGACCCAGCTCGTGATGTCATGATCACTTTGTGACAGATCTTCCACGACCCCATGCGGCAGAGACACATCTAACCATGGACGCTGGAAGGACTTCGCCCTCTATGCTATCTCCATAACTTGTTAGAATCCTCTAAGCCAATGTCTCAACAGCAGAAACCAGTCCGGTGGTCCTGTAGTGTCCACTCTGGTAACTGCAGGTGTTACCCTTCGACTGGACCTTTGCGATCATGGACTTGGCAGATGGGCTGCAGATCTGAGGGACGAGTCTTGATCCCTTCGGTGGTTTCCACAGGGGTGGCCGGTGATTACCAACATGCCATGTGAGCCACGACCGAGGTGGCTGAGGAGAGCTCAGGCGTGGCAGTTGCAGGGTCCGTGCCATGGGTTGGGTGCCTTAAGTAGATAAAGATAGATAGAGATAGAGGTTCACAGTATCCAACTGGCCATAAATTACCATTTATTACAATTTATCTATGAGAATCTATGAGTAGTTCATCCGGTACTCGAATTTGGCAGCCTTTTCTTCGGCGGATTCCCTTAGGCTCAGTACAGTACAATCCAACTGAGATGAGGTTTTAGAGCCACCTGAGTGCTTACCTGTTTTTTTTTAAGTTTTGATTGTTTTCAAAAGGGAAAAGGGAACCCCAACCAAGATCCAGAAAGTTGGGGTCCAGGCGACGGGGAAGTGGTGAAGCTCTTGAGGGCCTTCCGTTTGGTGCGCACTGCACGGCTGTGGCTTGGCTGCGGTCGTTTAAGCCAATTTATACTATATTTATGGTGATCTTTAAGTAGGCAAGATGGGGATTTAACGGATTTAAATGATTTAAACCATAAATTCTTTAGATGGTTGGAGACAATCCATATTTCCCCATTTTTGGTAGGATCAGATAATTTTTCGGTGACACAAGTGATGAAAGGCATGGGCGAAGTTGGAGTGTTTTTTCCGGAGGGATGTTGACGGATCCTTTCGCGCCATGCGACCCTGAGGATCCGACTGTTGAAGCTGAAGTGGATATTGGCACCTCAGTCACAGTTGGGTGCGGAATGTGCCGAGAGGGATGAGCATCTGAGCCAAATTGTGTGGATTCACCACTCAGATTGCAGGTCCATTGGACTCAAATTAAACCTCCCAAAATCTGATTTTGGACTTAAACCAGGGACTACCACGGAATAAACATGAACAACGACGCTTCAAGACACTCAAATAGGCCGTTTCACAAGATGTTTTGTGACCCAGGAAGCGATCGACGACATTTTTGAATCCGAGATGGCAGGAATTTGGGCCGCTTGGCCCAAGGATCTGATAGACCGTGCTTCACTTTTTTGTTGCGGTTGTAATGATCTTCAATTAATCAGCATGGCAGCATATTGCAGCATATTGCAGCATCACCACTGGAAGACCACTCAACTTCATCCAAATCGATACATTTTCTTATAACTTGCCAGATCAAGAATTGAACGCCATTGTCCACAAAGCTGCCCTTCCAAGTAAACTCCTGACATATCCGACATGCGATGTTTGCCCCCTCAATAAATGGAGGCACCACCTAGAAGGATTGTCACAATATCTTCATATTGTAAGGACAATGCTTTGGATTTTGCGGGTTTCCTGAACATCTAGGAAAGGCGCAGAAAAGGCCATGAAAGATGCAACAAAGTCAACCACTCTTTTTTGCGTAGATCCCCAGATCTAGTCTTTGTCAGGTTCACCCGGGTTCACCATTTCCCTATGAAGATCGCATCCCCATGGTGTTTCGCTTGCTGAGATGAAGATTGTGAAGATGGTCCCCTTGCTGCAGGAAAAACACACCAGAAAGTGAGATGTTGAAGTCAGCTCCATCTTGGAGGGAGATGGTATAGAAATGATTGATGAACGGTTGATCAAAATGATAGAGCACTTTGGCGGATTTCACAGTGGAAGCACTGACAGCAATCATGGAGAGGGCCATGCTGTCACATCATGCTTGTCAAGCATGCTCAATTAAGCCGCATGGATGCGCATGGATTTTGGCTCGCTGCGGGCGTAGCCATCTCCTGCCCTCAGGTTTTGTTGCTATTGGCCATCAACCACATCATTGCGTGTGTGTGGTACTTGTTGGCCATTGGTCACGAGGACACTTGCGCAGCTTCATAGGAAGATGCAAGCAGGATTCTTTCTGATTGTGGTTTGTGTCCGCAGATATCCGCAGATGCATGTTGTAACCAAGACCAAGAACACGTTGTACAAACACATCCTGCGTATTGGTCTCTTTGTGTGCGAATACGCATTTGCATATCTTCAAATTTTGATACGTGGAGCTACGATATATATTTTATATATATATAATTAAGTATATGTGCAGACTCAAAACATCTCTATAACGGTTGCTTCAGCTTCTCGCATTGAGCGTCTGCGCTCACAACGTAGTCATATACCCACGACACCTGCGTAGCCCGCGGCAGGACATTCAGCGCACGTGGTTATCTCAAGAAGACTTGGATTCCTTGCTGCAGATGGGTCCAACATGTCCAACACATCTCTCGGACCTAAACCCGGGCCAATTCACTGGCAGAATTGCAACTGGAGACTATGGAGTTTTGAAACTCATTCAGCTAGAGACTGCTGTGCAGATTCCTGTGAGTATCGACAAAAAATTACCAAGGATCGTGCTGAGTGGGACTACAAGTGACCTGAGACCTGCTTTGAACACGGCGAATGTTGGACTGTGTTTTGGTGCTTCGCTGTGCGCGCAGAGCCTTAGTCAGGGCCCCCCACCCTGCCCACCCATCATCGATTTCTGAATCTGCTGCAGAAACAGGAAGTGTAAACTTTCTGGAACCGTGTCACCTACTTTCTGGAAGTGCTAATTTCGTGTCGTGTCATTCGTTCGTTTGTTCATGCATAATTGGTATCAGACAGAAAGATCCTTGTCCAATCCAACGCGAGGTATGCATGTGCATTTCACTGGTCGATTACACAGCGGGGGCCTTGTTATTTGCAATGACTCGACCTTGGAACCAGCCGTGGATGCATTGAGATTGAAGTCCGGCTAAAGCCGTGGCGATTTGGAACCAAGGTTTACACCCGCATCAATGGAAATTGCGTTGGGGAGCCTATTGGAAGTGCCTACACACAGCTGATCCAACGGGAACATAACATGTGATGCTGGATCTGGAGGGATTCTATCAATCTTGCCATCGAATGCCGTCGAAAGGAAACTGGCTTGTCTGAGGCCACAAAACATGTCGGAGCGGACTTTCACCATCGCAGTTGAGCCTTGACTCATGTTTTGTTTTTTGTTTTGAATCTTTTCTTCCTAAAAGTAGGTCACTTGGCGAGGACTTTAGGTGGATTTTATGTTGATTGCGTTTTTGGTTCCAAAAATGTCTTTTGTGGTGAATGCTGAGTGCTGCTTGTTGCTTCGTAGCAGCATTGCACTTTGAATAAGTCATCAGTTCAATTGAAGAGACCAACTGAAGTTAATCTCCAGTTGACTTAACCAGAATGCATTTCCAGAACATGCTGTGCTCTACGAATGATGAGGGTCAGGGCAGAACCAGTTTCCCTCCACTCATTCCATCTGTAGTTGTTGATTTCGAAGGCGTCTGCGGGTTAATTCGTATTGGTATCGAAATTAAAGATACAACATATTCCATCTGTAGTTGATACAACATATTCCATCTGTAGTTATATTGAAGATACTGAATATTTTGTATCTCTCTCCTTATGTCGGTGCGGGCGGCCGTGATGCTTTCCAATTCCGCTGATTCTTTCCGCATGCAATCGCACCAGCAAATCATTTCTAGTACTTGTCAAGTAGGGAAACTTGCAGATGTGGGTGTCATGTGTCACATATATATATATTATATTATAATTACTATATTATATATTATATATCATATATAATAATTATATTATATATTCTATATTATTTATTATATATATATTATATTTTGTAGTATATATTATGTAGTATATATTATATATTATATATCATATAAATATATATTATATAAATATAATATATATATATATTATATAAATATATATTATATATTATATGTCATATATATATATATTATGAATATATATATATATTATAAATATATATTATATATTATATATTATATATTATATGTTATATATTATATATTATATATGATATATTATATATGATATGTGATATATTATATATTATATTCTATTTTCTATATTCTATAATCTATATTCTATATTCTATTTTATATAATATATACTATATATTATATATAATATAATATAATATGATATAATATGATATAATATGATATAATATATTTTATTATGTTATATCATATTACATATATTATTATATATTATATTATATATTATATTATATATTATATTATATATTATATTATATTATAGATATACGTACCTATATCACATTTGATGAACCGGTTGTTTTTCAGGTGGTTTTTGCCCTGGTGGGATTCTCCTACGTGGTGGGCAGCATCACTGGGTCCTTGGGCCAGCTGCGAAGCATGTCAGAGCACACCGTCAAGGACCGCAGGGCTCGGATTGTGACCGCTGAAGAAGTGTTGCGGTGTGATTCTAATTACAGATTGCAGAAGCATTGCCCTGACACTGATAGTTTGCCATAGTGCTCAAGGTGCTGCCGGCGAAGAACAGATTGGGCATTAAGTTCTCAAAGGATGGACACTCATGTATTCTTATGGATAAATAGACGCATCGATAGTAAACCAGCTCTTGAAAAGAAGAGTTCAAACTTGTGCCCCAAACAGGGATCTTGTTGGCCTATCAGACATTGTCGCATTAGATAACTTTCATGGACAATGCTGTGGGCCAAGTGTCTGCTGATGTAAAGAATCTGTACAGAGTGAAGAGGAAAAAAACATCCACACACATATCCACGCATCATTAAATTTACTGTACAATAACTTGGATCATCTTGAATCATATAGCATACAGATACCGGATGATACTGGTACATATAACATTGTAGAATAACTATATATGTATATAATTATATATAATATATTAGATTCACTATAACATAGTATGATATACTGTAGTATGTATAAAACATTTACAGCGTACATGTTAAGCTTCCAGGGCCACTGTCAGGAGTTCTGGAAGCTGCGGATGTTCCTCAAGAGACACAGGGTGCTGGAGCCTGGACGGGTCATTGGTAGGATGGGAGCCTGCGACGTTTGGCGTTGATAGCATTGATTATAGATACTCATTTATTGTCCATCTAAGTCATATTGATTATGATTATCATGATTATCATTTATTTTGACTTAGATGGACAATTTCCACTCATCACACCGCAGGTGAAAGTGGAAATAGAATCTGCTCCAGCCGATTCTGATATTTTTTAATATTCATTTCTTTTCCGCAAAGTCCTGTAGCTGATGGTCTGAACCAAGATGCATCCCGGAATTCATCCGTTTGGTGTTGCGATGTGTTGCGTGCTGTGAATGGTAAAGGAGATGCTATGGGGAAAAGCTTCGAGACTCAGGTTCCACCACCCTTGGCCTTGCGCATCAAACGCTTCGTGGAGTTCGAATTTCAACGACAACAGAAGGTGTGGATCTGGCACTTTCCATGGAAACTTTCCATGGAAATCACTGAGATCACTTTTTTTGGGAAAGGAAAGCCATGGAAAAGCACTTCCCAGCCCTTTCCAGCCGTCAGATGATGCCTTTAGAGACGGTCGGGGTGTTGAAGCTCCTGCTGCGCACTCAGTACCGATGCCAATCCTGATGTTAACCTGTTTGGAAAGAGCCGGATTGGTATGGAACATTCTGGAACCAAAGATGAAAGAAGCTCAGCTGAGGTCTGAACAGATGATGAGTGAATTGCAGGCGGAGTGGCGCAGCTGGGACATGATTCCCCGAGCGATTTTTTGATGCTGCTCATGGCATCTCCACACATGGCAAGTCGGACATGTGGTGGATTTCAACTTGGCCATTCGCCCAGTTGAGTTTGTTGAAGCTATGTTGAAGTTCTGCAATGCTCAAAGCGTATAACCATTATAACTGGCTCAACAGCTCAAAACGATTGAATCATTGATACCAATACCATGATAGTAACAACTACTGGGGTATGGTCATACAGCGTAATTATTGGAAAACCTTCAACAACCTCCTCCAAGCCGTGCAGAAGTTTTTTCTCGGGGATTTCCTAAAGAATCCCTTTACAGGACCCGATAGAATTCTGGAAAAGCCACGGCCCGACGCGACGCAGATTTTTACCGACCCATGCCGAACATTTTTTTCATTTCCATAATTCAGTCGGGTCCAATATATAAAAAACTCAGCGTCCTCGGCTGTCGTGCCATGGATTTGGAGGATTTGGACCTGATCTTTTGTTGTGTCACTGGAATTCTTCAGGCTGGCTATCTGTCGCGCTTGCTGCTGTGCTGCTCAGGTCCGAGGATTCCCTGGCAGACACTGAGCAGCTGGTGGCATGCTGCCGATTTTCAAGTGGATCCGCGCTTGACGAAGGACCTGGATCTTCTCCGGTGTCGAATGACTTGCAGGGTTTGGCATGTGGCCTCTTTTCTCAGTATGGGTCGTGTTCTCCTGCAACAGCTGCGGCTGGCATTTGGTCTACTTGGCACCAGTCGCTTGTTGGGAGAGTTCGATTTCCTGACTATCTTGGGCATGGCCATGGGTTTGGTCTTGCTCTGGAGGCCAAGTGTGATCAGGCCACAGACTCTGGATGCATGGTATGTAGCAACTTCATTGATCTCAATAGTTGCGTTGATTCCAGTTGTCCACACAGATGCCAGGGATGTTTTGAATCTGACCTTTGGCTTTCGAATCTTCTTCGCCGTGCTGACCAAACGCAACTGGTGCTGGATGATTTGCACAGCTGCAGCTTCCACACAGGTTTTGTGGATCGCGAAGCAGCAAGGGATCTCAATGATGTCCGGCTTTCTGGGTCCAGTACTTTTCGTTTCCTTTGGCGTGCCATATCTCTGCATCCTAGCTGGCCGCTGGTTAGTCTATGACAACATCATGTTGAGGGCAGGGCTGCAACAGAAAGCCATGGAGCTGGGAGCCGTTTCTTCATTACTTTTGGTGTGCTATGATGCAGTTGTGCAGGTCGATGAAGCATTGAACTTCACGGAAGATTCCTCACAGCTCAGCGGGTTACTGCTGCAAACAGGGATCAGCCACGGTGGGCTGACTGGAAAGTCCTTTCTGGAGCTGTTTGATCCGGAAGATCGCGGACGCATTGCTCAACACTTTGCTAACTCAATCTTGGAAGACGCACCCATCATGGCAACCAATGCGGACATGCTCGACTCAGATCAGAATCACATCAAAGTTGAGCTCTTACATGCTCAGTTCAGAGATCATGCGAATGAAAGGTGCTTTTTGATTGGTGTTCGCGAGGCTCAGACTGCCAGTCAGCTGGACAACCTGGCACCTTTGAGAAACTCGAAGAGACATGGAGCTGCTTGGTGTCGTGATTCCATGTTGCTGCCAGATGATTTAGACTTGCAGGTGATGTTCGAAGTGCCATCCTTCGAGGTTTTGACCCTCAGTCAGGACTTGCAGCGACTCTGTGAGAGTATGGGCAGACCAAGGCCAGCAAAAATTCTGGACATCTCTAGCGCCCAAAGCCGGGATGCTTTCAATGCCAACTTGCAGGAACTTGTGAATGAAATGGGGACAGAGATGTCTGAATCGGATGGACACGTGATATTGTCATTGAATTTAATGGGGCTAGGTGAAGCTCAGTCATCCTTTCAGATGAAGCACGACGAGGTCTCCGACAACTTTGTGGGAACCCTGCACATCAAGTTGCCACTGGTTTCGCCTAGATCTGGGATCAACAACTCGTTGCAAAGTGTCCAGGTGGGGGCCCCAAACGGCGCAGATTCACGACGGCCAAACATCGTCCGAATCGTGGTGTTCTGGGGCTTGAACTTTGAACCCCCAAAGCACAGGTGCTGTCAACTTCAGTTTCACAATCTTCGGGGAACAATCATTGAGATATGCTTCATGTCTGAAACAAACCTCTTAGACTCAATTTTTGCCCGTTAAAATTCCCCAAATTCTACAACTGAACCAACTGAAAGCCCTGATGTTGGTTGAAGAAAATCTCCCCGGTTTCTGCTGGCCACTTTGCAACTTCGTGAACCGTAGATGGATTCTCTGGATGGAAGGGTGCACGGATACACCAAAGTTCATGACTTTCATAATCTGTCATTATCTTTCACAAATTTTCGACCTAAACATTCACCTTGTTTGAGCGTTTTTCTCTGGGTGTGTCTGGAAATGGCTGCATGGGGTTCCACAAGATGGTCGGACAATGTCGGAACCCACCGGATCACCAGCTGAGGTCCGGAGCCCCCGCGTCCGGAGTCGCCGTTTGAGTCATGGCACAGCGGCTGTGGTGCCGTCCATGCTGGGCCGTCAAAGCACCGGGGTTCGGTTGTGATTCGCCCCGATCATGAGCAGGCTGAGATTTCTGGAAGTTTTAAAGTTCACCAGGTGCACAAATAGGCCATCCTAAAAAGGATGTGGTCTGCACATGTCTGCATATCGCTACATGCACGACGGAAAAAAAAAACATGTAGCTCGATAGCCACGGGACTCGCAACATCTCTTTGCTGAAGAGCAGATAGCAGCTGGACGATCCTTACAAACAGCATCATGAATTGAACCAAAATCACCCAGAAACGTGTGAGGAAATCGTCCTTGAGGTTCACCACACCTTGCCACATCCTTTTGCTTTGGAGGCTGCCATCAACATTCCTCACATGTCTGTAGCTGACTCGGGGCTACCGGGTGGACCCTGTTAGCAGTTGGCATGCAACGGTGAATCACGAATGACGGCTGTTTGATGCATGATGATATCTATTAAATCTATTGATGGAGGTGTCTGTCGGGGTTAAGGCCTGGTCGTCTGGTTGCTGCTCTATTCCCGCAGACGCAAATTGACCAGTAGATTCAGTAGATAGTCAATAAATATATATATATATAATTATATAACAAATACCACTTAAATAAACTGCATGTTTTGAGAGATTTCCATCCAGTTCACCCCAAAAAACTGAAGGATAGACAGCGAAGCCAGACTGGGCTGACACAAATTTGGCATCTAACATGAGATCCACGTCGCGATTGAGACCAACGAATTACTGTAGATCACCCGCCTCACAAGTCTAAAACGATGAGCCTCAGACATAGTCATGACAGCCACCATGTTGCTAGACATATCAAACAATGCCATGATAATTCTCATAATAATGACAGATATATTTTGTTGAATCTAGTATGAGCGTATATGAAAGCGGTGATCATCATGACCTATATAGATGCATATAGTCAAACACATAGTTAAACATATAGTACCATTTTCAGGGGGAAATCATCATGATGGATACTTCGGTGCCCAGGTGCATCCCTTGTTCCAGCAGCTTCGCGACAAGAGTTCACTGGTGATGCATCGCATTTGTAACACGGTGCCACGGGCGCCACGGGAGGATTTCTGGAGATGTGCTCCAGGTCGTATGTCTGAAAATAGGCTATGGATGGCTATGGCCTGTTGTACCCCACATTGTTTTTGGCAAACTTTCAATGGAGACAATACTGATGAACAACTACTGATGAACAACCGGATGGAATTTGCCTATGTTCAGACAAGCCCATGTGTGGAACTTGGGACCTGCCAGTTTTCCAGCAGGATGTTTACAGGGATCTTGACACACGGCGGAACCACCAGGTGGGAAATTCACCGATAGGTACACTATTTGATCCCTGAGCACGTCGATTGTTTGTAGCTGGATTTGTCCCCAGCTTGAAACATACCCTTTCTTAATCGCATTGCCCTCATCTATTCTTGTGCAGGATCCCTATTCAATGCGCGCTATTAATGCTATCTACCTTCCGGTAATCCTAACATGGCAATGGACAATCCGCCATTTAGTTCGATGATTTCTCCCCATTTTGATAGATCTTGTAGAGGTGTTCCCAGCTAGCCATGTTTGATTACAGAAGGGTATGCCCCAAAAGATAGAAACAGTAATTCACTGGAAGATTTTTGGATATCTATGGACTATAGATAGCAATCCGCCAAGATATCAATATCCATGGTAATCCCTCTAAACTAGTATAAACACTAGTTTGTCACTATAGTATTGCCCCATTGGATTCTACTTTCCGTCATCTTTTTGGGGGTTGCTGATGTCATTTCAGCTTCTTACGTCAGGCTCTGGGGCACAAGCAACTGGCACCAGGCAGACGGCAGCAGGGTTTCTTAAGTCATGGGGGATCCCCAGTCGTCACCATGGTTTGAATGACTTGGATGGTTTGGGGGTACCCCCATGGATTGGACACCCAAAAATATGTTCATAGAGATTCACTTGACATTTCACAGAAAAAACACATATCAAAATAGATCAGATATGACACATCCTGTGATGATCCTTGGGTGGATTGAACATGATTTAAGACATATACCATGATATATGACATAGATTTGAAACCATGAAATACCATGAAGGATGCTGTGGATCTGTGATGCTGTGCTCAACATGGCGAAACGGCGAAACCCCGCAGGCGACCTTCTGTTTATGCCTGGTGAGCAGGTTGGCTGGGTCGACAGTCGCCACCGAACCGCTTGGGATTGGATTGCTGCCGCGGATGATCAAAGTCTGGAACCGCACTGGAAGACATTGAAGACATCCCATTAAAATCCACTAAACCACCATAAACCACCATTAGATCCCAGGAAAAAATCCGTTATCCCATAGATTTCCCATAGATTTCCCAGATGCTGTGAAGGAGATATCCCACATCCCGATGCCTCCAGGCGAGCTGTATGTATTTCCTGACCACTGGTCGGCTTTGGTATCGCAGGCGTGGGTCTGTTGGAAGTGTCGCATGTCCAGAGGAACATGCCAGACATCTCAGATGCAACATGTACATGGAGGTTTCCTGAAATGGGGGTAGCCCTGTTCATCCTCCATTTATAGATGGGATTTTCCATGAAGTCAACCATCCAGCGAGCTTGGGGTACCCCATTTATGGAAACCCACATAACATGTACATAACATGCTACAGTTGCAGGTCTTCTACTTGCAACTCTTGAGACTTGAGACCCTTAAAAGGCTGACCTGATGGACATGGCAGCTGTGTTTTGCCAGGTCTTTGCCGGATGAAAACGATGAGGTGTGAGAGTTCGCTCCCCTTGGTATCACTTACGTTACAAGAGATTACAAGAGTACATAATCTCAACATCATCGACTGCATATATATATACACATATTATATATACAATGCATAATGTATACATATATAAGCATATTGTATGTATATATATAGAGTATATAATGCTTATTTGTTAGTTGTTCATGTAGTCGGTGGATCACCTTTCTGGCGGCAGGTGGAAGGCAAAGGCGAATGGGTTGAAGCAGATGAAGATTGGATCACAGAGCCAGGGCTGGGGAACCGAGTGGATCGTGTGAATCCAGCTGCTGCAAGTCTCATGGAAGGGCTAACAGCTTGGATCTTGCCATCGCCAAATCAAAGAGAAACCATCTTTGGAAATGATTAACATCAAGAAACCATGTTTTCCTTTGGCATTTCAAACAAATTAGTTTGGATCTTGTAAATGGAGGGCTATTGTGTTTGGAAGAAAAAGAGTGTTCCGTTTTGGCAATGTTTTTTTTTGATTTCTGTTTCCCTGCTTCTCCACTGTTCTGCTTCTCTGCTTTTTGCTTTTTGGCTTCTCTGCTTTTTTTTCCTGCTTCTTTGCTTCTCTGCTTCTCCACTGTCCTGCTTCTCTGCTTTTTCCTGCTTTGTTGCTTCTCAAGCCTAACTAAGCCCCAAGAAGCACTATAAATACACCCTAAACCAACCTTCAATAAACTCCAAACCACCCCTCCAAAAAAATAAAGCAACTCTAAGTAAACCCCAAAAAAGCCCTAAAATCTGAAACTTACCCCAAAAATACCCTAAATCCACCCTAAATAAACACCAAACTAAGCCCAAAAAAAACAAAAGCAACTAAGTAACCTCTAAACAAACCCCAAATCTGAAATTCACCCAAGATAAACCCTAGACCCACCCTAAATAAACCCCAAACTAAGACCCCAAAAAGCAAAAGCAACTAAGTAGTGAAAGAAATTCAAAGAATTTCTGATGGACAAAAGTGTGGTGTCGGCTGTGGGCCATTTTGGCTCAAGACAAACCACAGCTGACCCACGATGAAGTTTCTACTGTTTTGCGCGGTCAGCTATGTTTCCTTCACAAGCCGCTGCGCTTCAGATGGCTACGATCTCCGACATCCGGGATTTCTACGAGGTGCCGAGGGATTTGTGGCAGGCATTCATACAGGTGGCAGGCGATCCTGGCGAAGACCTCAAGTTGTTGTCAGCGTTGCCTGCCACAGTGATTGCGGCATCCCTGGAGCGAGCGGCGATTGGGGGACAACCTCTATCTGCTGTACAAGCTTCCCATGTGGGGCTCATCTACAATTTGGCGCGGAGGATCATGCATGCGAAAGGAGGAGGAGATTGGGAAAGGTGGCAAGATCAATCCCCATTTTTGGATCAACGGCAAGCTCATGGAAACGAAGGCGCAAACACCCCAACCAAAGGAGAGGCACTTGGGGAAAGGAAACTGAAGATGACTCAGGTGATCGATCAGTCAGACGACGGGGAGTTCACCGTACAATCCGAGGAGGTCAGATCGAAGTGGTACCAACAGTATTTCCAAACCACAGGTGGCTGGCCGCCCGAGGAAGAAGACCCTACCTCGGAGCAGGTCAGTGCGTTGGACAAGAGGATCAACACGCAGGACATTTCACCGTTTGTGGACTTTGGAGTTTGGGTGCCATATGGATCCAAAGCTTTGAGGGCGAGCAGATTCAGGTCCTACGTCCTCACGGCCAATGGATACGTGACGAAGGAGTTGCCGGGACCTGCAACATTTGTGCAGTGGAGATCATCGTTCAGGATCTTGCGCACTGCCCTGGTGATGCTGGACGCAGTTTCATTGGCATCACTACATGCGTACGAGATGACCATCGAGCGCCTCACAAGAACCTACCCGTCAGCTTGGCACCTGATCTACTCGGCGGACGAGTTGGCCCGGTCGTCACACTCGAATCGTCTGAGGTCGAGGATGGTGATGGACGCCAAGGCAGGGAGAACGGTGCCATTGATGTGGGACCCAAAGAGGCCTTGGGATTTCATCTTCAACCTGGTGGCGATGGACGACAGCTTTTGGCAACAGCAGGTCATTTCACCTGCTTTAGCCTGGATTGCGGCGGGCAGTCAAGGGAAGCCCAGGACGCCAGCAGAGCAGTTAGCAGCGGGCTTCATGAACGGTGGAGTGCAATCCATAACTCCACAAGTGGAGGGTCCAAAGCAGAGCAACATGGACCCCACGTTCACAGGGACTACAAGGACGAGACGAAGGAATGGAAAGAGAAAACAAAGAGGTGGCGATGGAGAAGACGGACAAGGTGGGAAAGGAAGCCCAAACACAAACAGAAAAGGAAACGGAAAGGGGATGACAAAACAGCTCTGCTATGGCTGGAACAATGGAAATGGCCCATGTGCTGGTTTACCTCCAGGGCAACCGTGCGCATCGAAGGTGACGAGGGAACACCGTTGCACAATATGCCAATCTCCAGGTCACCCGTCAAAGGACTGCACGAAGAAGAAAGAGTGAAGAAGCATGGAGAGGAAACGGAAAGCACGAAGAAGGAGAACGACACGAAGGGCCCCAAAGCAGAGACGAACGAGGATGAAACCTACTCATACACGTATGAGACGGAAGAGGGTTCGGCAGAAGATGAAAAAGGTGGGGACGAAGAAGAACCAGAGGAACAAGATCCTCTGCTGTCCAACACGTTGGAAGAGTTCTACAACAAGAGGGTATTCACCTTCATTCATCACTTCGCAGGCTGCAGGGATCCGTTGTCCAAAGCCCTCAAGTTGGAAGCGATTCGACAGGGCATCAAGATTAAGGTCATCAGCGTCGAGAAGGAAAGCGGCTCTGGTGACCTTGCGTCAACAGAACCATACACGACTCATTTGCGTTGGGCTCGAAGGGGCTATGTTGATGGGTATCATGCTGGATTTCCATGCAGCACATTTTCCAGATTGAGGCATAGGGTCGCAGCCAACATGCCAGGGCCGGTCCGAACAAAATCAGAGCCATATGGCAGAAGGGACAACACGGAACGTGAACAAGTTCAATGTGACGAAGGCACCATTCTGGCATGTAGGGCCATTGATATGGCGGTGGCGGTGGCGGAGCGGAAACAAATCCATCGAGTTCCGCCAGTGTCGACTTTAGAAAATCCTCCCCCCAGCGACTGCCCAGAACACATCTCAGCCTGGGAGTTGCCCGAGATGGACAAGTTCCTGCAGAAGGACAAGAGGTTCTTTGCTCGCTTCAATACCTGCAGGTACGAATCAGGCGTGGAAATTGGGAAGAGGCATTTCAAACCACAACAATTTGCAGGATCTTTGCTGGGCTTGCCCGAGTTGTCGAAGGAGTGCTCATGTGGCAAACACGCCAAACATGAACCAGTGATTGGCCCAACTAGGTCCAAAGCATCGGCAGAGTATCCAGAGAAGCTATGCAGAGAGTATGCAATATTGGCCATATCGCAACTGAAACTGATGGGGAAGGAGGAGTTTCTGAAAGCCAGAATGTCGTCGTTGCAGGACGAGATCAACCAGACGAAGGCTGGGGTGGTGGAACACAACGTGCTCAGCAACCACATCCCAAGACCTCCCAGCGTGCACAGAAGGAGGTCTCGAACACCGTTGCGGAGGCCTACAACGGAATCGAAGAAGCCTGGGAGAAGTTCCGATGGCTCGGAATCACCTCCGAAACCCAGTTCCTCAGGCATTTCGGCAAGAGGTCGAGATCGGAGAGGACACGAAGGTGCAGGAGATGAAAAGGAACCAGATAAGAAGAAAGTGAAACTGGAATCAAATTTGGCTGCAAACATTTGGAAAGAAGGAGAAGGCAAATACGGGACGCTCAAAGCGAGCAGAGCAAAGAAATCAGCAGCGCAACAACTGGACTATCTGGGTGGGATGAGGGACCCATTCAAAGTGGTCAGACAGATGTCGAACCTGCAGTCCATAGGAGTTAGAATCCGAGCCGCTTGGGAGGCCTTCGAACGTGAAGTTCAAAACACCAACATGGTGGCGGAAACCTACGGCACGAAGGATTGCGTGCTGGATCCAAAGTTGGTGGAAGGCTGGAAGGCCAAACTCAAGAAGGTGCTGGGAGCTCAAGCACCCAAATCGGTGAGGGTGAAAGCCAAATGGATGTTCACGTCACCACTGGAGGCCGAGATCTTCAAGGCCTGGGTCAACAGAGGCAATGACCCGGAAACCCATGTTGCGCGGTGGATAGAAGAAGGGGCGCCATTGGGGATAGAGGTGCCCATCGAAGTGGCCGGCGTGTTCCCTTTGAACACGGACGACTCCAACTTGGATTTCTCAGGTTCACACGAGTTGGAAGACGCCGCAACGCAACTCAGCAGGGGCGAGATGGTGAACTACATCTCGGTGCAGGACAATGTCGAAGAAGCTAAGATAGAACTGGACCGCTATCGGCAGCGGGGCTTTCTGGTGGATGTGCCCAAAGGCATCGTCGAATCCGAGATGGCACATGGAACTATAAGCAGGTTGGGGCTCATCATCAAGGAAAAACCGGAGGGCATCAAGCGGCGCATCATTTTGGACCTACGTAGGTCGGGCGGGAATCGAAAATCAACATTACCAGAGAAATTGGTACTTCCACGCCCAAAAGGTGCGGTGGAAATGATGAGAGAAGTATACAAACTTCGACGCCCTCACGGTAGCGAAGGTAATTTTGCAAGGGAACTCGTGGTCATTGACATCAGCGATGCCTACATGTCATTGGGCTTGGACCCTCGGGAGTTGCCACACGCACTGGCACCCAACGTGGCGAACGATGATTTCTATTTGTTTTCAGCCATGTTGTTTGGATTCAAAACGGCACCATCTGGTCACGAGTGGCGGCACTGGTGGCGAGGCTACTTCAATTCCTGCTTCAAGGTGACGAAGGGATGCATCAAGTTTATCTGGACGACAGCCTTTGGATTTTGCAGGGAACACTCAAACAGCGCAACTCGATACTGTCAATGGTGCTGACGACAATGGCAGCACTAGGGTTGCAGGTGTCCCTAGCCAAAGGCGAGCGTGCAGCACAGGTACAATGGGTTGGAGTGAAATTCAACCTGAAGGAAGACGTGGTGATACTTTCACTGCCGGATAGGTTCACGCAAGACCTGGTGAAGCTCCTGAAGGGATGGGACAACCGTGGTATTGCACCTCTGAAGGAACTACGACAAGCAGCAGGGAAGCTGTCGTGGTTGTCCGGAATTCTCCCAAAGGCTCGATGGTTGGTGTCGATCTTTTACCGGGTATTGCATGAACGCCTGGACGACATCGCATCAGGAGAAGAAGCTCGCCGCAGAGAGAAAAGGCCTGATCAGCGAAACAAAGATGCTCTGTTCCCCGTGAAGCAATTGGAACAGGCACGACAATGGTTGCTGACGTTCTTGGACGTGGCGATGGAAAGGCCGCAAAGAGTGTTCAAGCTCGAGGTGGACCAATACCCGAGCACAACAGTGGTGACGGACGCAAGTCCACGAGGTATGGGGGCGATACTCCTGATCAACAACAAGGTGGTCAAAGCCCTGGCCTTTGCGGTGACGAAGGTAGATGCCGAACAGCTGGGTTTCAGCGAAGTTTGGCAGACATCGGCCTCGCAAGGGATCGTGGAGACTTTGGCCGTGCTCTTGGCCCTGAAGGCGTGGTCGGCGCAATTGAAATCATGCAGGCTGGTGTTGCAAGTTCAGTCGGACAGCATGATTGCGCTGGCCACGACACAAAAGTTAAGCAATCCATCAACGACCCTCAACTTCATTGGGGCCGAGATAGCGATCCAGTGCGAAGCCATTGGAATCGAAGGTTTGAAGGCGGTGCACATTCCAGGGGTGGCGAACTCGGTGGCAGAATACTTGAGCCGCCCGGACAAATGGGACTCGGCCGATTTGCCCAAGGAATTGCAGGGCATCCCCATCCAAAAGGATGTTGGGGGAAGGGGGCCTGAGTTTTACCATTTGCCCACCCCTGCAACAGCACCAGGGTTGTGGCTCTCCAGTGCAGCGGCCAACGACATTTGGGCCAGCTTGCATTGATGAAGAGCGAGTGCACCACGAAAAAGGAGGGCACCTATCCAGCCACAACTTGTGATCTTAAGGAAGGAAAGTTTGAATCTTGCATGGCAACCTTGTCAAATTTTTTTGCAGCCGGGCTCAAACATGACGGAAGTCGTTCTACGCTTAGAGCTCGAACCTGCGCTGTGGACTCATCATGCACCATGGCCGACTTGGATGATGGGAGTTTTGGGAGTATCTCTCTTCCTACTGATCATCTGCGGCATGAAGGCGTGCTATCGTTGTTGCTTTTTCCAGGAGGAGACAGACCCACCAGCGTTGCACGAAGTGGACAACCCGTACGTCTACTTGACTTCGTGCGAAACCCATCACGAACCGCGGTGGCCCACAGAAGAGATCAACTTGGCGTCGTTCGTGACTCGAAGGCCAGGGATGTGGCACAGGAGGTATTTCAACGAGATAGGGGAAGAGTTTTTCGTGGATCTCGACTAGACGAAGAAAGTCAAGGTGATGAAGGCAACACTTCAACTCCACCGAGGCTGCCAACTCGAGAACCTTTTCCACCCAGTCCACCGGCGCACCTACTTGGGAAGGAATATGACTTGTCTCCAGTTGGGCCCAAGTCTGCTGGACCCATGCTAGAGATATCCGATGAAGAAAATGGGGATTCCCCATCGTCCCGGGGAAAACAAGGAAAGTTGAGCAGGAGTGCGTCCGACACGTCCAATCAAGATGCACCAAAACCAAAAGAAGAGGTGGATCGAGAACTTGGGCTACCTCAGAAACCTTGGTGGTGCGAATTGTTGGCATCGCCAGTCAAACGTCTTAGGCTCAACGACTGGGGCAGAATGTGGAATGCACCCCAACCGGACTTTAGACTGCCAGACAGTGTTCAAATGCAGGAGAACGATCAGTTTGTGGGCGCGGAGGTGACGAAGGAAAAGAAACCCGCCAAGGTGTTGAAGAAGCCAAGCATCAAAGCTCGGCGAACTGACATCCCGGTCAGGCGGGAGGAAAAAGGAAAGAACAAGTTTGGGTTCAAACCCACCATCAAGAGAGCGGTGGAATTGGCGAAATCAAAGCAAAAGAGGGAAGGCATTTTAGCACGGATTGAAGAAGACTATTATTCGAACTCCTCAAGAGCAGCCAAAGCTTCGAGGAGGAAATCCATCATGAAGATTTTGGACGCAGCGAAGGCATCCTATCCTTTGACTCCAGAATCAATCAAAATGCTGGCTGGAGCTTTGAGAGAAGCCGGATACAAGTCGGCGTACATGTACATCATCGAAGCAAAGACGCACCACGTGGAGCTGGGCCACACTTGGACACACCTGTTGGACAGGCATTTCAAGCTCACCATCAGTGCAGCGAAGCGTGGTATGGGGCCGAGAAAGAAAGCACCTGAAGTACAAGAAGATACTTGGTCTTGCGGATCCCTACTACCTGAAGGAGGTGCAAAGAAGGGTGAACTGTTACTGGCTGCACATCTCTTCGCCCTGGGTACCAAATGGATGCTGAGAGAGATAGAAATAGCCAGGCTAACAGCCAGCGACGTTTCCTTTGACATTCGTGGAAGGACGGTGTCACTGATCCTTCGTGAGTCGAAGATGGACCAATCAGCGAAAGGGGTGACGAGGACATTACAATGCTTGTGCAGAGACGGATGTGACCTGAGGTGCCCCTATGCCGTGTTGGAGGTCCTAGTGAATCACGCGATGCTCAAAGGGGCACCTGACAGCCATCTGGGAATCACCACTGAGGTCCAGCAGGCGACGAAGGCGGAAGTCATCAAGGCGTGGAGAAAGCTGTATGGCTCCACGGTCACGGGCCATTCAGCCCGAAGATCGGGGGCATTACAGTACATAAGAAAGGGTTGGGCCATATCGCAAGTGGCCTTCTTGGGACGTTGGAAAAGCAGTGTCATCCTGGAGTACACGCAGGAGGCTTTAGAATCTATGGCGGTCAATGGAGACAAGAAGTTCGGTGAGGCACCTTTGAAACAATCCACTTTACAGGTGGACAAGGAAGTCTCCGAATTGGTGCTTCAAGCCCAGTCTCAAGTCCCACGCGATCCTGAGGTGAAACTTGCAGTGGTACAACAGATCCAAAAGGAATTGGCAAAGCTCAAGGCGAACACGAAGGATGCGGCAGAAAACCTGCAAAAGGAGATCCAAGTTTTGGAGACCAAGTGGGAATCAAATTCCACTTACTTACCAAATCTGGTAAAGTCAGCGAATCTGGTAAAGTCAGCGAGAAACCAGGTCATACACAAAAACAATAGGATCCTGGTGTATGCGCCGTCAGCTCAATGCAGATCAGTTTGTGGCTGGCATTATTACAATTCAAATTACGAGTTTGTCTGTGGAGAGGACACGAAGGTAACATGTACGAAATGCCAAACTGCCGCGCAGAGCAAAGAGTAGGATGAGGCGGCAGCATAAAATGCCCATCTTGAATTTGGGTGGAGCTGGACCAATACAAGATTGGGAACCAGCTTGAAACAGACAAACTAAGGCAGCACCACCGACAAAGATGAGGGGTGGGCTGGATGGATTTCATTTTGAAAGTTGACACCAAAACGTGTCACCTCTAAACAAACCCCAAATCTGCAGCTTACCCTAAATAAACTATAAAGCAGCCCTAAGTAGATCCTAAGCCGGCCCACCCCAAATATATCTTAAACCACGTCTAAATGAACCCTGAACCAACTGTAACTAAAACAAAAACACACCTTAAATAGATCCTACGTAAATCTTAAACCGCGCCTGAAGAAACCCTAAACCAACCCTACATAGATCCTAAACCAACCCTATATAAATAAGCCCCAAACCAGCTCTAGAAAACAAAACCAACCATTAAAAAATCTAACCAACCCTAAACGAATCCTAAATAAAACCTAAAACAAACCCAAACAAGCCTTGAATGAACCCCCGTCGCAAAATACCATCCAACATGAACCGATGGCCTCAGGATTTGGTTGGCCGAATGGGAGCACCTGGGGTCAGCGACAGCCACACGACCTTCTTCGGCAGGGACCTAAGCTGTGGCCGAGATGGGACTGTTTTGCTGAGGATTTGTCCATGCCTTGCTGTTTGATGCTTGAACATATGTTTGCATAATTTTGAGTGGTAGAAATAGCAGACATTTCCAGTGGAACTTGGAGTAAATGGATGTTGAGATTATCCACAACCATTCGTGCATCGCTTCTTATTCAAAGCATTCGTTCTCCCATTTGGGTTTGTCTGACAATGTGGATATCCCTCATATCCCTAAATCCAGTGGTTTATCATCACTTCCCCTTTAAAATGACAATTTAGATCCATTTAGGGGTAACCCCATTGATAGACATAGCGTGACTTACCTATTGGATCCCTCGATTGCTTCATGCAGCCCTGGTACAGGTGATCAAGTTGAGGAGTGAACATCTCTATGAGGCCAGGAAAAGCCGTGCAGCAATGGGATTTAACCAGATTTTTGGTTGACATCATGGGGAGATGATGTGGATATGATGAAGATAAGAATTATAAGGTCCCGGATGATCATGGTGATCCTGGTTTTAACATGTCCGGGATCCACATGATCTATATCTTATCATTCTGGCGGCAACGATGCAAAATTGATGCCTTCACTTTTTTTCCCCACCTGCCAGGTGAGGGTCTCTAGATTTTATCAGAGTTACTTTCTCCTACTCGTCCTTCTCCTTCTCCTCCGGCAATGCTGGACCTCAACCGCGAGCGCCAGATCGCAGCGAGCACTGCCGGCCTCAACCGCGAGTGCGAGTGCAAGATGTCGGATAGAATGACAGAAAGTCACAAAGAATGTCAGAGATGTCACATAGACTGTCGTAAGAGATGTCAAATAGAATGCCTGATAGAATGTCAGAGAGAATGTCAGATAGAATGGCAGAACATCTGTGCTGTGATAGTTTGCTGTGGTGTTTCTGGCATGATAGCCTTCTCCTTCTCCTCCGGCACTTGAAGAATATTACATGTAGTTGATGTAGTTGCATTTATATGCCTTGAAGTGCTTTGAGAACGGAATTTGTCACTTTGCTGGGAAAATTGCTATAAAGTTTGCAGTTTGTGGACGATTGAATATGATCAGTGAACGGATGCCTTGATGTGTGACATAAAAAACAATCTCTTGTGTCTTGTTGGTTTGCTTTAAAAAACAATGGCATACCATGCAGTGTTTCTTTTGTGAGATGGTGGACTTGTATGATCACTGACAGAATACATGTCAGAATATATGCCTTGAAATGCCATGGTGGGGATTTCTCGAAGTAGAGTTTTTTTTGTTGTCAGCATCACTTTAAGGATTACTGCAGGGCACTGGAAGGCGCAACATAGCCCTCAGGTCGTGAGGCAATGTCCTCCTGCACTGTGTAAGTTCCTCAAGGAGTATGCCACCAGGCGAGATGTGTGACTCTTGACCAGATTTCCACAGCATGCCCCCCAACAGGATGCAGAGAAGGGTTGCTTTACCATACTTTAATATTCCAAATTAGTAGGGTTTCATTGTTTTTACCATTTTGGGGATGCTTTATATAATGTTGCCCGTTGAGGAAATCCAAGTGAAACATGTGTACTGGGCCGTCTCAACTTGTTTCACAATTGATGATCCAGAAATTACAAAGTTAGATTAGAAAAAAATACAAAGTCCCTGAATTCCTCAACGGTCAAGGCGCCATTGAATCCATTGAAAGACATCCTGAAACATCCCACCTTGTTTGCATTGCGTGAAACTGCAACCTGCAGGTTTTTGAGGTGGTTGGACGAAACAGAATTTGAGGATGGGAACTGCTGGAACTGGGAGAACTGGTCTGTGAAGGCTGTGGAATTTTGGTTCACAAAAAACATATCAATTGAGGTCAATGCGTGAAAGTATGCGCAGGCTAAGTAGACGCAGACATTCTTGAAAGACAAACAATCCACAAGAAACGTAAAGAATACACTAAGTAGAGTTGCGGTCGAGAGTTGCGGATGTGGCTGCCATCGTCACAGGTGGTTTTTGCGAAGCATGCCTTTTGAACAAAACACCATTCACAGCAAATGCTTTCAGTCTTCCGCTAGTATTTACTAGAGTTGCTAGAGTGAGTACCCCATTTTGCCCATGAAACCAGAAGGTAACAGGCAACACTTTGGAATTCTGGTTTCATGGCACCATTAAAATGATCTCTCTAGGGCCCAAATGACTGATCCGGCCATTCCGCTATTTCCTTTGAGCCTTTGGTACACAACGATCAATGAGTGCTCTATTGAGATGCCGGAGAGTGAACTTACTGTAAGATGTATGTGATTTTGGGAGTGACCTGATCAGAAAGTTCTTCGTTGCACTGAACACGATGGGCATGGATCCTAATCCCAGGCGATCAATGGTCCGCTGGTGGTCACATATTTCTTTGACCATTGCATTTCTTGAATATATACACATCACGGGCCACTTTAGCACATCGTAAATGGCAGGGATGAATGATTTCTACATATCATATCCAAAAAGATGTTGCTATGATTTTTTTCATGCCCCAACCCATGGGTTTTCAAAAACAATGACGCATCTCCCACCTCTGTGAGATGGGAGCAGGACTTGTCTGACATCTTCCAGGGCGATTTGAATTCAGTATCAAACTTAGTATCGTGAAAATCTCACCGGAATTTGAACAGATGGCGACCGGCGCATGGAGAGCTCCACCATTCCCACATATTCTCACTGGATCCCACTGGTTGACTTGCGATTTCCATGGTACTTGCTGTACTTGGAGGATCTTGGGACATCTTGGGACATGGGGTAGGGACTGAACTATACTGAACTTGAGGATCTGATCATGGGCTTCATTCCCAACAGCGACAACACTGACAACATGGCAGGGGTCAGCGAGGACCTGGGTGCATGCTGCATGAACTCCGGGCGAAGCCCTGGGAAAGTTGGAATAATCCTTCGTTGCATTCCCATGTTTGGCTTCTAAAGATCATATTCTAGCATATTTAGCTTATGCATGCTTGTGCCATAAGTGCTTTAAAAGTGTTAATAGATTGTAGTAGGTTGCAATTGGATGTGTTGCCATATTTCCAAGCTGATCATGCTGAATCAGCTGAAGGAAAGCTTGAAGGCCGCTGGGGAGAATAATTTTTTGGGAAATCAATTTCGAAGAATGAGTCGTGCCGCCCTTAGATCGTGTCGCTGCCCATGCTTGCCGCAGCGGTCGGCGGGTGTCGGCTGTTGGTTTGATGGTTGTTTTACACGATGATCTTTGGGATACTAGCAGGTTTTCTGTAGATAAACATTTAAGGTTCAATCTGTATCTTCCCCCCTTTGTCACGATGCTGGCACTTTTGCCGATGGCTCGTTGCCTATTGTTGCCTATTGTTGCCTATTGTTGCCCATGTTGCCTGAGGTGTCTTTGGCAGCAAAGGTGAAGAAGAAGGCTAAGTTCACGATTCTTCAAAGTGGCGCCAGCCTCAATGCGATGCGAGTCCGTTTGACCCCAACTCGTCTGTCGAAGCGTTTGGAGCTCCGTGATTTGGGCTACCGAAGTTGTACCAATGGACAGAGGTCCTTGCGAGTGGATTTCTTGAGTGCCACCTGCGTCAGAAAGATACATTGCATTACAAAAATATATATATATATACATATATATATACATATATATATACATATATATATATACATATATATATATATACATATATATATACATATATATATATATATACATATATATATATATACAGTATATAATATTTACATATAGAGGCTACATTGCATCCTTCCACTGTCACACACACACAGAGTCCTTCTCTCCTCCTGTTGAAGCAAAGAATAGTGAATAGGCAGTAAGCTCTGAGGGGAACAACGCCAGCCTTATGTGATTCCAGCTGCATAGTCGTAGCACCGATCGAGATATAGAGCACTATCTTGAAGCCCTTTTGACGTACCTCTTCTTGTTGGCGGCAGAGTTTTGAAAGGCTCTGAACACTTATTAACACATTTGAATCTATAGTCACCTTGAGAGTGGTAGAGTTGTCCCATTTTCAATTCGGAGGGTCCAAATTTGCAAACTTGGATCTCTCTTGGCATGCCGACATCCCTAACAAAGCAAACCCTATGCCCTGGCACTGGCATTGGCACCAGGTCTCCAGCAACGCTGGAACCGACTCTTCGATGTATATTTTTCAAATGGGGATGCCTGGTTTCGCAACGCGAGCAATGAGGGTGAGAAGATTGAAGTTTGTGTTATTTTATATTATTTTGTATTGACGGTGCTGTCATGTCCTGTCAATCAAGTTGCAAATGTGACAGGTCGTGTGGACATAGCCGGAAAAGATACTGTAGTTAGAGGTGGTGGCCAAGACATCTGACCTTTTCAACCTTTTTTCAGCAAGTGTCAGCTTGGAAACAAATTCAGCTCACAAAATTTCAAGCACCTATCGCACAAAGCGATTGCTTGCGTTGACAACCATCGCCCCCTTGTGCCATTTGGGCCGCGAGGCCTTTAGAACAGCTGTTGGAACATGAAAAATGTTGGCACTCCACCAGTTGTACAAAGGGGAAAACATGTGGAAAGAAAATCTTGGGTGGCTGTGGTCAAAACTGGCGTTTCAAAATCTTTGGGTATTGTCTCACTGAGCTCAAAGGGAGCTCAAATACCAGGGCCGAAAGCAGTGATGCTGGTGCACTCTTGTGCTCCATGTCACCAATGTCCAGATTGCACATCCTTTCCCAATGTCACCAATGATATACACATCACTAGCATATCACATAATATATCATAATATCACAATATATATATACATATATAATATCACATATCAATAGACAGTACTATCTTAAACTCGGGTCCTAAGTTTTCACGTGTTTTGCACGCTTTCGGTTCTGCGCACAGACATGCCCCGCGAATGTGGGCGCCGGTTGTCTGTCAAAAAGGGGCCGATGTGAGCTGGCGAGCTGGCGGGCGATTCAGGGCTGTTAAAAACCCAATGATGGGTGGTTTACTGGGGCATGACATTCCCATTTGTAGGGGATTTATATGGATTTATCACATTTTATCACATTTTATCACCATGGACGATGAAAATCCCCAGCAACTGCTCCGAATTTTCGATGCAGTGGATCCCGATCCCTCGTCAAACTCCTGCAACGCTATGTGGCGTGCCAAATTCTCAATATTGACTCGCACTGAACTCGAATGGCTCAAAATGAGATTGGGTCTGACATTGCAGACTATTTGTTGAACTATTTGTATCTATTTATCACTTAACATTTCTTTGCCACTTCTATACATGAATGAAACAACAGGCTGTTCTGAAAGATCCTGAATCCTCCACTTGATTTGGTCTAACCAGCAGCTCCCAGATGCCCGGCCACAATTGGGCGCCTGCCATGCATTGCCATGCGGGGCGATGGCAGACAAGGACGATTGGGACTTCGTGTGGTGATTTCGTGTTCCAATGTGTATCCCATGTTAATCCCTCGTTTGTGCCACTTTCATGCCGTTCTTGCATCGGATCCAACTCCATATTATGCTGTCTATATGTATATATATTATATTACCGTATATATACATACACAAATAGGATTTTAGGTATATACAAATATATACATGTATAATATAAATAAACATATAAGTATATATATATACATACCATTATATATATACCATTTTACATATACACACCATCATATATATATATGTATACATATTACACATGTAATTATTTATCCGCTATATATAGTATATTGTATACACCAGATAGATATGATATGCCATGGGAGCAACGTATTTCCTCAGGAGACCCTTCGCGTCACGATTTGTTCGGCGCGTAATCTGCGGGACGCCGATTGGTTGCCCGGCTCCAAGGGATCGGATCCCTTCTGCGAGGTGGGCGCAGATGAGTTTTCTGAGTTTTCTTTTCATGTTTTTGTGTTGACTTTAGCTGATGAAAAAGATGCTGATAGTGAAAATAAATGATAACATATATGATATATCAATATGATAACATAATGGATGGCCGCAGACGCGATGTCGCAGGTCATTGTAGATGGAAAGGTGATCTTCAAGACCGAGGTGGTCGAGGCTGTGCGGAGCCGGGTTGGAGTTGAGGATGTGGATCGCTTGGGGAGGCAGATCCAGTACGATCCGAACATGTTTTGGTGTTTTTTTGTTTTTTTACAGTTTTGAGGTGGTGCCATTTTAACTTGTCCTGGTGGTAAAATGACATTTAAACATACATATGACATATAATACGTACTGTATGTATATTAATATATATATATATATGATATATTATATATAATAAATAATGCATATGCAACTATGTAGTTTTGTTGATACTGTCACTATCCATTCCTGCCCAATGGTTCCAAACCCAGCTTCCAAGCCGGTCAGAACTCATCGGACCCTGTTTGGGATGCCACAACGGAGCTCTTGGTGGCTGCGACCGATGTCTTGGAGTTCAAAATCAGTGACTACGATGAAATTGGGAACCTTGGCAGATGCAGATCTTGGCAGTAGAGGTGACTGGAGGTGACATGACGGGAAAACCCGGATCGCTTTGCAGCAAGCGCGTTTGCACGTCCTAGAAGCGACCATGAAATGTAATCGGGTATCTTTGCGTGCAATAGCTCTCTGAATGGCATTGAAGGATGCAAGCACTTGATTTGCCACCTTTACATTTGAAAGCGTTCGAAAACTGTCATTGCAGTTCCCTTTTTGATGAAAAGACACTGCATCCTGACCGACACAGCACTGAGGAAAGCTGACTTGCTGGGCCGTGTTTCCATCTCATCAGCCCGTCTCTTGAAGGGCTTTGATGAAGAGATTAAGTTGGAAGAGGTGGCAGATGGGCAGGGTCTGGGAGCTGTGCATCCCTGGATATCTGCATATGGGACGTGTAATACTTGTACATTGCACGTATTATGTACAAAAATAGATGATACATTTTGAGTATATTGCAAATGCATACCAAATGCAATGGTATGCATGCCTCATCGCATGCTGTGCAACACATGCATTTGGTGATTCGGTAGCTTTTGTTGACCACATATTTCATGTTGTTTGATGCGATTCCACGCCTAAAGCTCCAGAGAATTTTAGGAGGACCCAGTCATTGCTGAGGGAAGCCCATGGAAGCCCTCAGGGGCTTGGGTTTGACTGGGACTTCCCCCAACCTTTGCAGGCAGGAAAGCGGCGCGAGGCTTTTCTGAAGCTGAAGGTCGAGGCTAAGGCCATCCAGACCCCTGCGCCAAGTGCTTTGTCTGCGAGTTGACCCGGTGCTATCAGAAAAAGCTTCCAGTGGATGAAGCATCCCAGTTTCGGGTGTCTTGAACACTCACTCAAAATACCAAAAAAGAATAAAAAAGATATATAAAGTCACTCAAAAATACTCAAAATACCATAATTAAAGATCATAAAGTCACCAGCTAAAACGTTCAAAACATTTTGTGCCATGGCAGCTTTGGCTCCCGAGGTGTGGAGATTCCCACGAAATCGTCGCCGGACAAGGAGAAGTTGAAGTCGCTGAGACGGGAGTCCATTCAGAGCGGCCTCACCATACGGGAGGCGAAGGGAGGATACCGTAGCATGTGAATTTATGTGCTTGGATCATATTTGATGCACTTACCATCCGGTTATTTAACATAGCCATGGAAAATTGCCCATTTATAGATGGTTTACCTATTAAAAATGGCGATTTTCCATGGCTATGTTAAATAACTTGATGCACTTAGTACTATAGAATGATTCGTTGGTGCTGGTCCTTCTTGGGTCCAGCCTTTGACAATGATGCCTGAGTCATCTCAGCACATCCTGGATGTTGCACCAATACTAATTAGCTTCTCCGCACCTGAAGTGAATGATCTCTTCTTCTCTTTAACTTGTGTGTTTTGATCAATCTAGAACACTTCATCTCCATTCATCTCTTTCGTTAGTTGATCAGGGGTCCCGTTTTTGTCATGCGAAGGACAGCTCGAACTTAGGGCCCTCAAACATCACATCCGGTTTTATTTCATGCTGCCCAGCTGCAGGTAAGGCAACTCAGTGTGTCCGAATTGGAGAGATGGTTGGAGGAGCTCCATTCCATCTGCGGAGTATGAGGCGTTTGTATCCCATGCTTTTTTGAAACTCATATATAAACATATATGAACACAGTTTTTTTAAGTTTTGGGTTCATGCTAGCAGGCGATTTCCAGGAATTTCCAGCCGTATTTTCCGATGTCCTGGGTTCAAGCGCCTTGCGCGGCTGCGTTCTCACGTGGCGCCTCATGGAAACCAAAGTGTTCCACATCGTTCTCTCCAGTGGCTCCACTGAAGAAGTTCACATCGGCTGCGGTGCTCGCGTGGCTGACTTGCAGAAAGCGTATAGGGCCCATGGAGGGCGGTTCTTGAGACTGGTGACGCAAGATGGACGACTACTGGAGCCCAGGCAGGGATCAACGGTAGGGTTTAAATGGTAGTTTGATGTTAGATTCATTTAGATTCAGAGAAACTGATGAAGGTGATATGATCAAGACAGGACGATTGGTATTTAACACTGACTATGACTGTAATTTGTATCATTTTGTATCTATGTTGCTTGTTTTTGCGTGCCCTCTGTGGTGTCCTGCAGCTCCAACGGGTGATGGTTCACTACCCAGGCAACTCCTGTCAGAAGTGCCTCTGGCAGGAGGTGAGCATTTGACTGTCGTGGCACAGAAAACATCACTGGCTGCTACGGCTGCGCGTTTTGCCATGTACTGCAGTGGTGTTGCGTATGTTGATACTTGGGGTTCAGCACATATGTCGCGTCCTGGGAATGAGCCGTTCCCCGAACCTCTGCGTAACGGCACTATGGCGGTGCTTCACATCTCAGCTACAGATAATGCTTTCGCTGCCATACTGGAAGATGGGACTGTCGTGGCCTGGGGCGACCGTTCTTGTGGCGGAGACTGCAGCAAAGTGGCATGGGAACTGGTGAATGTGCAGCAGATCGAAGGTGCCGAAGCTGCCTTTGCTGCCATCCAACAAGATGGACACGTGGTCACCTGGGGAGCGCCTCACGGTGGTGGCAACAGTCGGGGCGTCCAAAATGCCTTGGTCGGTGTCCGAGCGATTCGCAGCACCACCCTTGCCTTCGCTGCTATCCGACATGATGGACATGTAGTTACTTGGGGGGATCCAGACTACGGAGGTGATAGCCAACGAGTTCGTTACCGGCTCGAAAATGTGCAAAACATTCAGGGCAGTGAGCGCGCTTTTGCTGCAATTTTGGAAGATGGTGCTGTTGTAACTTGGGGCGATCCAGACTGGGGCGGCGACACCGGCGAAGTCCAGGCGCAACTGAAAGATGTCAAAGAGATTGGTGCCACGCGAGCTGCATTTGCTGCAATTCTGGCAGATGGAAGGGTTGTGACCTGGGGAGACGCAGCTTGTGGTGCTGATAGCAGTAGTGTCCAAGACCAGCTGAGAGACGTGCAATGCATTAAGGGCACAAAGCTTGCCTTTGCTGCGATTCGGGCAGATGGGACTGCTTCTCTGTTTTGCCTTTGAAAGTGTTTTGCAATGTTTTGGGCCTGTCTTTACTGTAATTTCTGAGATCAAATTTGATGAGTTTCCATTTGTTGTCATTTTTTGGGGTAACATGAAGTAAGATGGGGTCAGATGAAGCCTGGTTCATGTCCTTGGCCCTTGGCGTTATCGCGGGACCTTTTATGTTTGTTGGGCCATGTTGGCCCATGCTGGATTTTGCAGGTGGTGACCTGGGGCGATCCCAGTAGTGGTGGTGACAGCAGTAGCGTGGCAGATCAGCTGAAAGATGTGCTGCAGCTGTTCTCCACGGACCTGGCCTTCGCAGCTCTCCGGGCTGACGGGCGCGTTGTAACCTGGGGAGATCGGTTGAGTGGCGGAGACAGCCGGGAAGTTCAAGCTGAACTTCAACATGTCTACCTGATCCATGGGTCGGCCGCAGCTTTTGCGGCCATTCTGACGGATGGAGGATGTGTTGCTTGGGGTGATGAAGCAGCTGGTGGCTATGGTGGCTCTCGTCAGACCAAGAGCAACTCACAGAAGTCTTGGTGGTCGATCTTTGGCTGAGACCGGACCTCTCCGGACCTATCCGGACCTCTGAAGCCAGTCTGGTGAAAATGACAGGCAGCACACAGGAAGGCTTCCCATTTGTGGTTGAAGGAAACGAGCCTTTCAGAAACTGACTTTTCAAGGAGTTGATTTTGTTTTGTGATGTTTGATGCTTAAATATGCAGCTACGCGAAAGGAATACCCAAAGATGGTGCAATTGCCAACTTCCATCCATTTTCAAAGAGCTTCCAAGGACTTCCAAGGACTTCCAAGGTCTCAAGGGGACTTCCAGCCCTGCCCTGAGCACAGCGCAAGGAGGAGCGGCTCCGACGTCAGCGGCGGGAGACCCGGCGAGATGCTGAACGCCGTGGCCGGAGCGAACACATCGAAGAAGAGGCGCCGAGCAGATCGGAGCAATGGGAGAAAGATGGAGAAAGTGCTTCAGTGACTTCAGTGGATGCTTCAAGATTTCAAGATTGTTTGGATTGAGCCTGAATGCTGGGGTAGATGAAGAGACCCTAAGACACCCAGCTGCCCCAAGCCAGGAGGGCCATTGGTGGACTCCGGGAGATAATCGAGAGTGTCCAAAGTGTGGCACGGAGCAGCCACAGACCTCCAAGTTCTGCAGTGAGTGTGGTTGGATGCTTAGAATATCTTAGAATCTTATGCAGAACCCAAGGGCCCAAGGGCCCAAGGGCTTGCTTGAAAAACCTTGTGGTATGAAATTGCCATTGATGAACTATGGAAATCACATAAGCCGTGGCCAGTGTACCCCGAACAAATTGCGGCATGTTTTCATCTACATTCCTTTTTTTTTCTCTTTCATATTTTGATGAATCTATCATGACGGTACTTTTTTGTTAGGGAACCTATGGGATTCTGCTTCCAGAAGAATAATATATCAAGATGATGATAAACAGGGGGCTCCCACACAAAGTTTTTTAAGTTTTATATCATATATATATATATATCAGATATTGTGATAGTTTTCATTCGAAGCACTTCCCAGGCGCTCCCTGGAACTGGCAGCCTGACGTCCCTGCGATCCCGGTGCCAGCGCAGAGGCGGCAGAGGGTGCTGGTCCCACAGGTGCCTGGAGACTGCAGACATTGATTTGTGGCAAGGCAAAAATCAGGGGTTAATTATGGTTAACATTGGTTAACTTCATTCAAGCCATCTTGAACTGACAAAGATGAGGGTTTGAACCATGGTTTGACCGCCAGAAATGGAGATTGAAGCAGCTCAAAGTCTCAACGTCCCAATCACTTGAATGGAGGATTGGAGATGAAGCGGGCGTTTTAGCACCCCTGAAAAGGGGCTGCTTTCAGCTGCTCTCCAATTGGGCCGTTTCATGGGATGCCGGGAAAATGATACAGTCATACACCATCTCGAGCTCTTCCAAGTATCATCATCACCATCATCACTATCATCATGATCACGGCTGCAATCATGATCATGATGAGCATGATGAGCACCTGGAAAGCTTGACTTGCCCGCCCAGGCTCATGATTGGTCTAACATGTTTCAAGATCCAATTCGCAGTAGCAAAGCATGACTGCCAATTGTACGCCACTGCTGGATCTAGTGACAATCTAGTGGATAAGTTTCCCAGAATCCATGATGGAATGTCAATGAATGTCACTGGTCTGCCATAAATGGCTGCCATAAATGGCTCATTTCATCTCTGGGCCGCGCGCAGAGGTGCAATCTCCATTGCTTGCGGATGAACTTGTTGTGGCCAGCGATGAACTGCCGGAACTGCCAGCAGACTGGGCTGACACGTTGGACAGCCCTGGTCCAGCGAAGTACGAGGACCGGATGTGGGCACATGAGTGCTTTGAACGGTTTTTTTGCTTGTACAAATATGCATCTAAGATCATCTAAGAATCTAATATGCTTTATTGCCAAGTTGCAGGAATCGCTCTTGCCTCTTCCAGTCGTGTGATCTGGAGAAAGAATCTATGGTAAATCAGCATACGGCCGGTAAATCATCTAATATGCATCTAATATGCATCTAATATGCATGATTGCTTTTTGTACAATATCAGAATAGCATCTGTATATTTGACACCCTTCAATAAGCTTCAGGGAGCCAAGACATCATTTAGGGTAAAGCAAATAATCGATGCAAGTCAGACTGCCTGCTTACATCCTGAACAATTTTTCTGGCACATGATTTGGCAGCCTTTTTATCAGGGTTTTTACACATCTGTGATCATATCCGGTGATATTGGGTCGCTTGTTGTTGCGCAAAGCACGGGGATAGGCCATGCCTGCTGCGTCTGTGGCGGAGCTTTGGATAGATCGAGAGGGTGCAGAAACTTTGGCGGCAGCTCTGTGGGCGTAATTTTGGGTATTCTCAACCAAAAGTGGCGAAAAGGACTAGGACAGAAGCTGCGTGTTGGTTTCGAATCCTTGAAAGATTACAATACGTCTTTGGAACTGGAATTCCAACTCGAGACCGCGACTGCCAAACAGAAAGAAGACATCAAAACAATTCACAAGCTGCCTGGGTGCAAGATTTCTGTTGCACCTTCTACAGACATGACTTGGCTCAAAGTTGCAGATCTTCCGAGGAATAGGCGCATACCGACTAAAAACACAGCCAATATTTGCCGAGTTTGGCGATGCCAACAGTTTGCCAGCCATCAGTGTTGCCTTCAGATTGATGGAGAAATGGAGAAGGTTGCTCCCTTTGCCATGATGTGGGTATGGATCAATACCTATTAATACCATTTTTAGGGGGATGAACATCCATTTACCAGCTATTTTGATGTTCACCAGGGGTACAAGGGTTTTGACACACTGCCATGTTGCTTGTGGTACCGCCTCACCAACTGTTACCATCTCAGGAGTTACGTGGCCTGCAAAATGAGGACACGGATCGCCGGATGCTTCAGTTGCTGGAAGGCCGAAACATGCCGAAACATGCCGAAACCACCGTGAGGTCTCTTCGGCTCGGCATAGGGGTTTCCATTCATGGGGGATCCCCAATATGAATGGTTTATGTCATGGAAAATCCATCTATAAATGGATGATAACTAGGGGTACTCCCTATTTTAGGAAACCACCACATGATCATCTTTGTATCAAGAGCTGCAGATGGCAATTTCTGACCTTTCCACCGTCTTCAAATGTCTTTAGAATGAACTGATTTCTTTGTCCCCGTCTTTTTGCCATTGGGAGTCCATAGCAACCAGCCCTTGATGAATCATTGACCACAGCGAAGGCCCATACGCGAATTTGCCCAAAACAGCTGCACCAAGGGTTGACCCTTGGCAGTCCCGTGCCCCTCGGTTTGCAGATTTCCGGTAGTTTGATGTATCTGGCATTTTGTTGAACATATTTGATCTGAGATTTGATTCATAAGGGTTGACTTAATTGCTGGACTCATACATTTTGAAATTTTGAGGGATAGTTGCAGACATTATGACATGGAAATCAACGGCTGCATCAACACTTTGAGCCCGAGCCGGGCAGTGGCCATGCATTTGATCCTCCTGCCTGACCTTCATTGCAATGTTCTTGAAACACAATCCCAATTCACCAGAGAACACTTCAGATGTAAATATCACCCTGAACAATCCACTCTATCTATATCACCCAAAATAATCCACATATAATAGATCCACCAGACATCACTAGACTACATTTAAAGTATAGTATATCCACATATATCCACTATATCTACCATATCTACTTTCTTCGCAGTCGGATTGGATCGAGTTGCCGAGGTTGCGAGCTATGGAGTCGAACCAGAAGTTGCAGGTGCGGCAGCTTCCGTTCACAAGGCTTCGGTCATCAGAAATGATGGTGACAAATCCAGGTTTGGTCCAACTTTTTTTTTTTCCCCCATGGAAATGACAGTGGATTGATTCAAAGGGACATTGATCCACCATGAAAGATGTTCTGGTTTGACATCCAAACTTACAAACCAAATGTGTTTGTATACTGCATCTTGAAGGCTTCAAGGTGACGCTAGGGACCTTGAAGGATCCAAATCAGCAGTTCTAAGAAATTCTAAGAACCTTGCATGCAACGGATGGAATCTTAAACTCGATATGTTCATGTATTTTCATGATTTCATGTATTTCCATGTATTTTCCATGTATTTTGATGCATTTTCATGTATTTTCATGTATTTAATGATGTATTTTCCATCTCAATGAGTTCAGGTGAAGGGCAGCAATCGTGGTGGCAGAAGACCGGATTGGCAGGTCCAGGAGCTTGTGGGGACCTGCCGTCTCATTCGTTTTCTTTTGGGATAAACATCAACAAAACCGAGCAACAAATTAGACATACTTAGATCATATTGAACCCAGATATTTGCGAAGGCTAGGGGCTTTGAAGACAATTTGGGCCTTTGGGGCTTGCGGAAGTACAAATTTGGCTTGCCGACAGCTGTCAGGTCAGCGATCTATACATCTCATTATCATCCTGTTCAAACAATTGTCATCATTCTGTAAATTGTGTACATGTATAAATTGTTATGGTTCACATTGGCTCACGAACTTATCAATTATCAGGTTAATGAACAGGTTGGTTATGGTATATTATGCTGATAACCTCAATATTTCATATACCACAACCTCATATACCACAACCTTTTCATAATTTATTATGTTATGGTTATTTCAACATATTTCAACTCCATCCAGCTTTGTAAAAACCGGCACCAGGAGCAGCACCCAGCGGTTCCAGCAGCGGGCGCAGCGGGCGTTGGGCCGTGTCCATGGCGCACACGGTGACCAACTCGCCAGTGCATTTCGGGATCGAGGCTGGGCCATGGGGTGGTGGGAAAATGCTGGGAAACTTCTCCTAATCTATGGCCGACTATGGCCCAAATGTCTATCCAAAGGATGGGGATTTATGGGGTGTGATGATCAGAATGTTGAAAATTGGGGCAAAAAAAGTCCACTGGATGGCCAACATGATGATAAACCATCTTGAGGGTAACCCAGGCAAAGCCTAATTTGGTGGTTCTAAGTTTGGACTGGCTCTCTTGTAGTGATGAGAACTTATCCTATTGAATCGTTTGAAGCATAGCTGTTTGATCAGGGTGGAGCATTCCGAAGTAGGGCGTGATGATTCTTTGTTTTCTTGCAGCAGTTGAAACAACTTTTAAAGGCACAGGCACCACGGAACAGATCAGGTTCCAGTGAAACAACTAGTGTTGGAAAGCATTCCAACCCACCTCTTGGCATCCCAAATCCACTGGGCGAAACTTCGATTTAGATTCTTCTTAGATTGGCCTTGGGACTACTTAATTGGTCACCTACTACGCTATATAGCCAGTAAGAAGCAATTATTACGGTTCAACTAACTCCATGGCCATTACTGGTATAACAAATTATAACAGTAACATCTCAGGTTATCATAAATTATCCCATATCTTGTAGTAGTACATAATACTACTAAATTGTGATAAATTATATAGGATAATTTATGGTAACCTATGAGATAATAATACAGTACTATTATAATTATAATGACCTATTATATACCTATTATTAAAACTATCATGGGTTATAAGATATTACTTATCATAGGCTACAACATTATTACCTGTGATAAGCCATTATAACCCATGATATATAAGTAATCTATGATATGATTAACCTATATATATATAGTACTGGTGAGAATTAGGTTATGTTAGATGAATTAACTTTCTTATAACCTTTGATAAGTCAGATATTCTCATAACCCCCTAAAAAAGGTTATATAACCAGTTTTTTTAAAACCCAAAGCCTCTTAGTTCTCTTTCTCCCAGGCCTTCCGGCGCTTCCTGCGGGTGGAGACGGAGCCAAGACTGCAGTGGCTGGCAGAGGAGATGATGCACGTGGAGATGCCCGAAGGCGGCATGGGGATGGGCATGTGTATATATAATATCAATATGATATATATATATATCACAATATGCAAATAACTACATAAATAAATAGATAAGTTTAATAATGTTTAATATACATATATATATATATAATATGATATACATATATATATATAATATGATATATATATATATTATATATTTGTCAATTTAATATTGATTATGATTTTTGGATATATGATTTCGCTGAGGTATGTTGCGATAATTTTCGCTGTTGACCATATGTCTCAGTTGGGGATGTGCCCATCTGTATCGGGTTGGAGCTGCTGGAGCTTCGAGAGCCAAACATTTTTGTCCGGGCACTCAGTGATGCAGAACTTGCTTGGAGGGGCATTGTTGCAATTGTGGTTCATCTGTGTTATTCTGTGTTATTCTGCATTCATCTGCCATGCTAGAGACGGCTCAGAAAGCTTCCGTGGTATCATTTCGGCCCAATTTGATTTGAGTATTTTGAGTCATCAGTTGTGCACGAATAACGCCCTGCCGTCCACGCCGAATACGCAAAACATGGGCATCATCTCTGCAGCCATGGAGACAAAACGCATTGTCGTCATGTGGGCCAGACGCATCATCGTTTCCATCGCCGTTTGCCTCGTCCTGGGGTTTGTGGGGTTGGCAGGTGACGCACTGGTTTCCAGTGCTGGAACCAAAATATGTCTAGAACTAGAACTGTTCTTACTATTGCTCCAAGCATGCTACGAACTAGTTACACTAGTTGTGACTTTGTTGGTAGCAGCGCTGCAGGTGCCTTTGTCATTTGCAACAGATGCAGTTCGGGATGCAGTTTGGGACTGGACGTTCTCATTTCTTTGGGATGCAGTTTGGGCTCTTATGGGCTTAGACGGAAAGTCCCTGAGCATATCTGAGTATGCTGCATGCTTTCTTAATGGCCTGTACCAATCAGGCGACTTAGGATTGGACACCGGCTGTGCCATGTCTTAGTGAGTCATTCTTGGCATAACCGATTAATCTTGAAAGTTATGTACAGCATTTCAGGATATTGCAAGAGCGAAGTCGTGCAAAATGAGATTCGATGCGTTTGCTTCAGCGCCTCAGCAGGGTGTTGGTAGGCAAGCACTTTTGGCACATGTTGAATGTGCCTTCAGCCACTGCCTGAGGTCAAGAAGAGATGATGGCTGCTTTGAGGGCAGGAGGGTTCTAAAAGAATCAGGTAGCCTCCCAGAATCGAACATTCTCCGAATCGAACATTCAGATCATTTCGCCCACTGTCATTTTCAAGCAACTAACTGTTGCAATCATTCGCATTCCTTTGTTGTTCTGCCACATTCCTTGGCAAAGTTCAATGTTCGGATGTTTTGTTCATTGTCCTTTTGTGCTCGCGATTGCTGGTTTCTTTTTGTTTTCGACGGACCTACACGCAAGGTCAGGAGGTTCTGCTTGAAGTCTGTCTACTTGTTTGCGTTCTATGTCAAAAGGTGTTGTCATCTTCTACATACCGGACCAGCAACAGGCGACTGAACAAATCAGGCTGTTCTCAAGAAATGCTTACCCTTGTGATCCCTTCCGCAGAATCAGTGGCACAAACCTATAGAAACAAAAAGAATCAAACAGCTAAAGGCCGTTGTGTTTCCCAATCTGTTCAGATTTTTGCCCTGAAAGATTTAGAACATAAATTATCTAGAACTTGAACATTATTGTCAACTAATTATTATTTAGATGTTTTGAAGCGGCAACTGAGACTTAAATTGCACGTTCAATGAGAGATACATGGTGAAGGTTGTAAGGGTGGTGACATGTTGTGACAGCCAATGACTTGCTCAAAGAACTCCAAGACTGCAAAGTTGCTGCTGGTGCTGGAAGAAATAAGACACGACACCTTGCACTTGTTCCGTTAAGCTTTTTGTGGCCTAGTGTCATGATATGTTCCTTGAGTCTCAGCACTGCAAGTCGCAGGCATGTATCCAATCGATCCGCTTTCTGTGGAGTGCCGCACCCTTGACAGAAACTCGGCGCAGCCTTGTGGAAGCAGAGCCTGAAGCAAAGCGTTTTCGCTATGATACGGGGGTGTCTAAGGATTGAGACATATTTGGATTATCTTTGGGGTGCATCCCATTTGAATTAGTGGTTATAGTCATAGTATGTCATAGTGGTTATCGCACATATATTACTGGGGCATATCTCGTATACAAATAGCTTTAACTGGCTGATAACATGATCATTTCCCCTTGACAATTGGAGGATGCACATCTATCTTAGATATTTGTTTTAAGCGATAACTTATTTCAGTTTTGTCCACCCAGAATGGCCGTTTGGTTTTTTCCGGTGAGACAATTTATGGCCGAGGCCATAGCAGATGCCCAAATCCTCCTCCAGCCTTAGCTTTCGTGCAAGTGTCCAAGATCACAGGCGTGGACATCGTGGACACGTGGTGAAGCCCGAAGCATCACCATGTAAACCACCAATGACTTAGTTGTACCAGAATTGGATGGCTAAAAACAACCATCACTTATCACTGTTGATGGCACTGTGTTTACCACATTGATTGGGGGGATCATCAAAACTTGGGGAATTTCAAAAGGAAAAACAAAGATAAAACCACTTAGATTGGAGATGCAACACCAAACAAAGCCAAAATGTATGGCTTGACTTACACTCAAAATGCCGATTGTGGGTGCGTTGGACCCCACTCTTGAAGCATCTACTGTAACTGCACTCCTGCCTTATGAAGTGTGGTGCTTGGAGGCTGTTTGGATGATGACGTCGAACTTTTCTTTGAGCATCCGTACCAGGAGTGACATTTCGACACAAGCTTCACTTCGAGACTTGAACACGTCTTTTTTGTTCTGTTGATCTGAGATTGCTAAGTAGAACATGTCTCAGAGAAACAGACACCCGGATGTCCATCCTGACAGGAGGCTTTCGACTATGCAGCCGCAGCGCAGATGTTGGCTGAGCGGTCTGCACAGCCAGTGCAATTGCTTGAAGCCCCATGGTGCACATAATCATGCTGCTATCATTTGCTATCTATGTCATTGAAAGGCAGGACAGATTTTAACTGACCTTATCATGATGATGATGATGAGACGACGACGACGACGACGACGACGACGATGATGATTACGATGATGATTACGATGACAATGATAAGTATTTTTATCATTGATAGGAGTCTTTGCATCATTTCCATCATATGTTGGGCACCTGAAACCTGAAACGACCTTCAAAGGTTGCTACATCTGAGGTTGCTGAAGCAGCCTGGACCCAGAAGTATGGCCAGGCCTTGACGAATTGGGTGCCTGGAAGCAAGCAGGGATCCAACGGTTTTCTCACTTCGATTCTTTTCTGGCCACCTTCTTTGTTCAAGGTTTGTTGGAATGATCTTGTATTTCTGCTAATGTCAGTTTCAGATAGTTTCAGAGTCATTTCCGGTTTTCACAACTTCATTTCATACGCTTCATGCTTCTCCACTCACAGTTATTTTAGTGTCGCTAGAAACAGCCAGTAGGTGATACACCTCCAAACAGATATGCAAGTTATTCTGGTGAAACCCTTATTTATTTCCTCTTTCTGCAGGTGCCTTGTTCCAGTCTTTCCGTGGCCATTTAATTTCTGGAGCATCAATGTTCATCATCATCCAGTTTTTGACAGTTCGAGGATATTTCATGACATTTCTATACATTTCTTAGAAGAGGTTTTAGATCTTCTTCAGACCTATGCCTATACCGTATATACCTGAAGTGTTTGAATTTGTTCGTTTTCCTTGTCTGAATTTCCTGCCTGGAGCCATGGATGAGAAAATATCTGCGGCTGAAGATCTTTGACGGGGACTTCGCTGTCAGCTTCGTCCATGTCTGACCTGTGGAGTCGCTTCGTGTGTTTTGTGGTTTTGAGCTCCCAAGAATTTGCGATGTTCCGTCATCAGCTTTGGCATGTCAGCTGGAGACATCATCATAGCAATGGGTCCCGGTCCCACTGGTGTCCTATTTTAAAAGCGCCATGACTGGATTTCAATCAATTCCCCACAAAACCCGTGTGACATCCCATGTTTCCGGGATAGTGCCAGTTTCCAATTTGGTGTGTGCCCTGACTTCTGTACTTGGGCCGCAACTCTGTGACAGTTGACGAGATTTGAGAAAAAACGCCACCTGCGATGAGGCTCAAAAAGGCACTGGGATGAACGAAAGGTATACTCATTTGCTCTACAGTTATTCAGAAATGGCAATAGAGGATTTCAAGTTTCATCCCTGGTCTCTACTGCAGCTTGCTGAAAAGGAAGATTTGCCACCAATTTCGAGCTTTGGAACAGCAGAGTCTGAAACTCATCAAGGCGAAGCCGGTCGCTTTCGCGGGTCAGTGAGATTGTTGATCGCATTGAAAGTTCTCCAAGCCATCGACAATGGCACTGACCTCTGAAAGTGCCTGATTTGCTTCGCGGGAGTGGTAGTAGCTACAGCGTGCAGTGGAAGATTCCAACTGTGAGCCACCGGATGCAAACTGATTTGGAGGTTCAGAATGTGAGCCGTGAACTCTCTTGCCACAAGAGTAAAGTGTACAGTATTTGCCTCAATCTTGTGCCTTTTGAATGGCTCACATAACATACTCTCTATTGCTGCCGAAGTAGGGGCAGGTGTAGTCACCCTGCTGCGCGGCCTTCAAACGTTTCAGGGCTGCGACGCCAGTTCGGCCAGTTCGGAAGATGGAGAAACAAACTGCGGCTAGCCACATCCCCATTTTCACTTAACGGTTTGTCTGAAAATGTCCAAATTTGCCATTTTAGAGGATGATAAATCACCCAATCTGGGATGCAACATATTCAATGAACCCACAGCGACAGTAAAGCGCCGGACTGTATGATGGATTCACACCACCCAATGGAAGTCATCCTACAGAAATGTTGCATCAATATGTCTCAAATCAACTGGAAAAAGATCAGCTGAGATACCCAATGACAAGGGCTAAGGCACGTCATGACAAGAAATCCTCTGAGAATCAATGTCCCTTTTCGACTTTTGGCGCCTGCCCCCAGCAGCACTAAAACAGAAAAGTATACAAGCAACCATCCTTAATCCCCACAAGTGGAATTCGGCGTGCAATTTGAGATGGTTTTGGACTTTTAAAGTATAATCGCATGCACAACTTTAGAAAACATTGACATCTACTGTAATTATTCCAAAGGTATATCCAAAGGTATTGATTGCTGCACAGTTTGAGAGTCTAAAATAACTGAGGATCGAGTAGGCACGATATATTGACACGCGATAGACTTGGCAATGGTAGAGGAAGGCAAGGGATGGAGGGAATCTGCCAAGGAAGAGGATCTGCAGCTAGGTGGCTTTATTCATCGGGTGTCCGGACATCATTCGGAGAAGGACTGGGGTTTATTTTGTGGGTCACGGTGTGCCCGATACCTTGTTCGAGGCAAAGAGTATCAGATGGATCAGGACGGTGAGTCACAGAGTCATAGCCAGTCATACCTCTTTGCGCAAGGATCCTCGCTCGCGCTTGTTGCGGGAAATGCAGTTGGGCTGCTTTTTGCTGGCAAGAGCAACATGGCGATCAATAGGATTCACCGCCAATTTTCAATGAAGGCATCTATCCAGGGGGTTTCCATAAATGTTGCTACCCAAATAGCTGGATGGTTTATTTCATGGAAAATCCTTTGAAAATGGACGACTTAGGGGTACCCATGGGTACCCCTATTTCGGGAAACCTCCATATCTATCATTATCTATCCCCATTCCATCCCTCTGTCCCCAACCGTCCACCTCACTGGAAGCTGTCCAAGGTACGAGTGCAGCTCACCGCCGATGCTGCTTAGACTGCTGTGTGCCAAGTGGCAAAAGAGACACCTTCGCTGCTCATCCGGGGAGTCGGTGGTGTTAGTCTTTGAATCTGCAGAATTTGATGCCAAAGATGATTGCAGATTGATGGTTTAAGATGATCCAAAGTGGTGTAAAAGCATGTTTTGTTGCATGTTTTAGCCAATTTAAGATGACCAATACTTTATTGACCGGGAACAGGATGGAACTGGGTGGAGCACAAGAGTTCCTATTCCCCTCAGACGCGACCCAAATTACTTGGTAGCATGGCCGGATGTTCACCATGTTTTCAATGTTGAAGCCGCATCCCTGGTATAGTTTCATATCCTGGAGGACGTTTGAGAAGATCCTGCAACTGATTGGGGAGCTTTCATTTGTATTACAGTATTACAGTATTACTGTAGAATTGGTTTAGACAAGTTGTTGGAAAGATGTCGAGCTGATACCAGGATGAAGTCAAGGACCTCCGAAGCTGTTGCGATATCAAGCAGATGAGTCGACAGACCATCCCAAAGACCAATCCAGCCATATCTGAAAAAATGGACATTGCAAAGCAGGGGCTGTAAGGCGATTCCATTCGGTACCAAACAGAAACATTGAACGTCATTATGGCATATTGTGGCCACAGTTGCTCTGGACCATGTCGCACGCCGTTGAGTGAGAATTTCGAGGCAGCGCCGGCAGCGCCCAAAGTGGCTGCACTGACTGCGCTGGGCAGTTGCCATGGTGACTGGGATAGGCAACGACATGGAAGCTTCTGCGGAAGCGATGACCATGGAGCAGATGATTGCGATGAAGGCGCTGAATGCAACATCTTTTTGAGCAGCTTGAATCACTGAACGTGGGTAAAGAATGGTAAAGACATGTTTAAGATGACAAGGATATTTATGCAATTGTGACGATTATGGGCAGGTTTATCGGAGGCCGCCCCAATTTGTTTGCTTTACATTCACAATCCATCGTTGAAACTGCATACTTGCCAAGTTTGAGACACATCCAGATGGAAAGGTTGCTGCAGGTTCTAGCTGCTTATTGAAAGAAAACATCTTCTTAGCCAAGCGGGACTTCTGTAGCGGATTGGTTGCCTTCGTTGTCTAGGCTATTGCCAGTGCATTCTATCCGGCTTCGAATTGAACATGTCTGAGCTGCCAGTTTCCATGATACCTCAAACTTTGAAGTTCCTCGGTGTCAGGAAGGGCTAGAAGCTCAAATCAAAGCGATGAGCAAACCGACCACTGACAAAGTGTAACTTGTCGACAGCGGGGAACATTCAGCTCTGGCTCTGTGGTTCCCACTCAGGAGCCTTGCTATTTTGTTTCCTACTATTAGTGTGAGCTGGTGTGTGCGGCACGTGCATGGCAGCCATAAAACCTTTCAAGTTTCCAATATACAACATTATACAACTAGGTTATTATGGTTAGTGTACCGTGGCTGTATCAAAAAAACTGGCACATGATCCTCTCGTGGCAGAAACCCAATTGACTCGGCTGCCTGTCTATATTCATGGCTGAGAAACTTTGGTCCCAAGGAATTCAGTGGGACGATTTACTGCGGCGGCAAACATCAGTGGCATTGACGAGGCTGGGGCCTGTGGGTGACCGCCTG